AAGCATTGTAGTTCAGTTGACGTATAGAATAGATACATGTATTACAATCAGGTTTCTGAAAGAATACTTTGACCTCAATAGTGATATTTCAACTTTAAAAAATAACATTGTGTAACGAAATCAAGTCAATGTAATGATGACTCGAAAATCATTATTATGGGGTTTGGTAAACACGACAACTTCCAGGAAATTCATATGTATCTAAAGTCCTGTTCTCAATCAAGCGAACATATACAATCTTAAATTAAATTTCCTAATCACAATTAAATAAATTCTCAATCAATAGTTGCCTAATTAACTAATGTCCATAAATTATGTCATAATGTAATAAACAAATGAACGATTGATTACATTAACAGGAAGCCATAGTTACAAATGTTATTAAAATTTTCTTTGTTTCTCAATTTGTTTTTTTAAACATTAGTGAATATTCCATTTTATTATTTCTATAAACTTTTCTATGAAAATTAACAAAAAATTTTGTGAATCTGACTACAGAATAAATATTTAGTTATAGTGATGACGAAATTCTTATCATGGCGTAAACAATTATCACAGATTGAAATCATGAGTCAATTGAAGCTAGACCACCATGGAAAACCTGGAAGCACTGGACGGCCATTTCGTCCTAGTATGGGACTCCGACTCTGGGACTGGTTGGAAGAAGCGGAGAGGTGGTCAGTGCATGACATGGTGTCGTGGCATGAAAGAAAGCTGCAAAGGACTGGCTTGTGTTGGTCCTTCACGACTCCCTGGTTGGGGTCTGAGAGATGGTGCTACACAGTGGCTAGAGACGTTATCAGATATGGCTCAGAATAGAAGCCAGTGGCGATCCTGCTGTAACCTTCTTTTACTTTCTTCATAAAAAGTGGTTCTGTCTCCCTTACCTGAAAGATTTCTTCCGATTATACCTTTGCGTTCCCTGATTACTAGCACATTACCTTACACCAATCTCTTCGTTATTGTTCTCTCTTTTTTTTGTTGCGCTCCTTAGCTTTTTTTTCTTTCTTTGTATTCCTCTCGAATTTTCATTGTTTTGTGTGGCGCATATATATTGGCCCTCTCTTGTACCAATATTCATGTGTCCAAATAAATAATAAATAAGTAAAATGAATTCATTCTGTTACATAGTTGCAAACAGACTAAAATTAAGAGCAATATAATTACAAACAATTGTTTGACATACATTAATGATATATTAGATAGCTGATAGATAGTAGACAAATTAAAAATATTCTTATAGTATTCAAAACCAATTATTAACGCCGATTTTACACTATTTTGGGGAGTTAACTGTTATCAAACTTTTATAAACGAACTTATTTATGGAACAGAAGAGACTCAACTGACTTTCTTTGCCATGGTTATAACGATTGTGAGTGAATAATTATTATCTCTTACATGATTTAATTGATACTCTTGTATTAATTTGATTTTGTTTCAAATTATTCCAATCTATTGTGTAATCATTTATTATTTTTATTACGATTATACAATCCCTTAATTTTTTAATGACTATTAGTAATTATAACCTCATCCCCGTTTCTAATTTGGATGACTACTCTTTCGACAAACATCAATCTCAATAATGCTTAATTTCATATTTTATGTCCCATTCTTCGTATTACAACTGTCCGTTGCTTTTTTTTGGATAGCCATCTGAACATCACTACCTGATCCACATCAAGACTGTGTTTATAATTAAATGAACCCTCATAACTGTATAGTGTTTGTAGCCAAGATACTTTACAATATATTTAAATTCACTTCATTCTACAAACCTTGTTATTGTCATTTAATCTATAAAAAAAAACAGTGAGAAGTTTTGTTATGGAACTATTGATCTAAAAAATGTATTGATTCATTTAGTATGATGGAAAGATTTGAAATTTCTCCATTTCCCTAGTTTCTTCCGTTAGAAGGGGATATATGAATTATAATCATCTACTATCGATCCTTATTATACGACTACAAATAGGAATCTACAATTATATAACTACAGAAGATCTCATGAAAAAATTACTTTAAATTATATGGTAATAAACATTAAACTGTAGGTTAACTGAAACAATTAAAGTTTTTCAATCAGTTATGATTGATGTATATACATCAAGGAGAAATACTCTTACACTGTTTTAATACATTTTTTGAACTCAGTATATGAGCTCGTTTTAGAACTTTTGAAAGAATAAAGATGAACTTGAGAAATGTAGTTCTGGGAAAATTATTTGTATCTTCTTCAAAATTGAATGCGTTGATTAAGCACAACAAGTGAATGTCATGCTTAATTTATGCATAATACTGATTTTAACTAGGACATAATCTTCCAAAAGTAAATACTATGATACAACTCAAAAATATTTAGTTTCTTCTTAATGACCCATTTATTCTCTTTGTAACTAGAATATCTAGAAAGGTTATTCTATTTCTATTTTCTTCCTCGTATGGGAATTTTATAGACGAATGAACTTTATTAAATCGCTCCAGTGTTTCTATCAAGTCAGTAATGGTCGTTCCTAAGGAGGAACGTATCGTCCATATATCGGTAGTAAAATGAAAACTTGTCAATCTGCTGTACCAGTGGACCGTTTTTTAGTTTAGCGAGGCAAATGTTAGCCAATATGGGACCTAGGAGTGAACACATCGCAACACCATCTATTTGTCTATATAGACACCGTTGAATTTGAAGTTTACGATCGTAGTACATTCCAGTAATAATTCTTTGGTGATCTCCACAAGGAATGCAGCCTCTATTTCTGTTCACCAAGTTGTTTACAGATATATTCTAGACTCCCTGAGTGGGGCATTTGTAAACAATGATGTTACATTTGTCCTTTAGTCTTTATGTTTTTGATCTTGTTGACGAAGTGGAATACAATCTTGATACTATGCTTCACTAGGTGTTTGTGGAGTGGGTTTAAAACGGTTACTAACCACTTTATTACAGTATGATAAGGGGAATTGTACATGTCTGAAATTGGTCTCAATGGGGTATCAGGTTTGTATACCTTCGGTAGTCCGTATGACCTGGGTAAATACGTAATTATCGGCTTAATTGTTTCGTATGTGTTTGGTCGAATTACGTATCGATCTCTGGGCTTTTTTGAAGATCTGGTCAGCTCATTCTCTTTTTGGTCACTCAGTTTCTGGAATTTTAGGTGTCGATTCAAAATGTTATTCATCTTTTCAATATAGTCTTTCTTGTTGAGTAGGATAGTCCCTGTTCCTTTATCAGGCTTCGTAATTGTCAAATCTTCGTCATTACTAAGTTCACTGATAGTCTACTTGTGTTTTTTTAGTTAAATTGCTTCTGTAAATATACCTACTGTTTTTAAACTAATAGCAACAATTATCCAGCTTCGATTTTAAATGTTCAAGTTCTTGATCAGAGGTCGGAAACAGATCTGATGTCTGATGATTTAGGTTTTCAAACTGAATGTCTGAATCTATATAATTTATGTGGTTTCGTGTATCACAGAACTTAAGACCTAGTACCAATACTCCAAGTTTTTCTTGATTTATTTCAGTACCGAAAAAAATTATGAATATACTTTTTATGTTCAGTCTGAAATTTATTTTCAAATGGTCAATTTTCTAGGCTTTCGAGAAGTTATGTTGCTTGTTTGACATTTTATGGCTTACGTTACAAAGATAACTAAAGAAAAAAAAGTAAAGATAATTTCAACCAAAAACAAAAATCTCCTAAAGAATCAAGCTATAAACATTGCAAAACGTCAATTTTTAATTTGTTTTAAAAGAATGGAAATAAAATTAGTTTGATTAAAACAATTAAGATTCATTCTGATAACTCATTTAATCTTGACATTATCACCACATGATTTTAGGCAAAATAAGAATACGCATACCTATGACGTCCGACACCTAATTATAAACTTACCAAATGATATAACTAATGACGATAAAAGTTACTAAGAGATATCAACTAAAGTAGAGAAATTCCCCTCCCTCTCGTCAACAGATTATCCTATACCTAAGTAGAAAAAAACCGATTTCTCCTGTGTAGTTTCAAGAAAAGTGAGTAGGGTTCGGCTCAAGAGAAATTATTTGTTACGATCTCTTTTGGAAGGAACTAGATTTCAGAAATATAAGTCTTAGTAATTCAATAAGAATCAATTTACATAAATACATACGGAATAGACTAGTTGACACTGAGTTCTCTGAGCCGGGTGGCCTAATAATAATATTCACAATGGCTGCTTTATTCAATACGGTAAATTTTGAAACATTGAGCAAACCTCAGAACCAGTTTGGCAATAACATCACAAATACCTCTTTAACATACATTCAAGTTGTAGCTATTCAAAATGTGTTATAAATGTTTTTAGCAGTCAGCAAACCGACAGACGCTTACTGAATCACTAAGGTTTTCTACTAGTTCGATTGTAATAAGCACATTTTCGCCCTATATATATATATATAACCCACCTGCTTTGTTCTGGGCACCCGGGCAGTATTCCAGCCCCCATACAAGTCGAATGACGACGTGTGCCGCATATATATTTGGTGTTTCCGTGTACTAATGTTTATGTGTTTAAATAAATTTCAAAAAGTAGATAATCTGTCCTCGATACTAATTACTTTTTCAACTGTTCTAGAAATAAAATGAAATAACCATCTATCACTAACATGCAGATTTTAATGTTCAATCAACTACAGACACTTTGTCCAAATTTATTCATATCAGTAACCAAACTGAAACTATACATTTTGCTTTCCTACGTGACTAAGTAATAAGAAAACAAATGCAAATAAATACAATGAATAGTAAAACTTAAATGATATGTATATCGTTTGCAGCAATTTCGCAAATGATATTCTTAACAATTCTTTTTATAAGTATTACCGCTTATGAGAAGACAATTAAAGAGAAAATCTACTCATCAAAAATATTAACCAAACACAAAGAATATTTTTATCTTATAAAAACATAATTCATCGACTCGATTATTTCTAAATATCTTCATATTTATTTAATATTTTATAAAGTTAGCGTGCTTGGTTACATGCTTGTTAAATTTATATCACGACTTTTTGAATCAAGCTGAACATACAATATACATATATATATAATGACAACCGACCTGTTGACAAATTTTTCGTCCGTTTAGTATAAATCTACATTTTACTTCAGTAAAATTTAAAATCATTGAATTTGGATAATATTGATGTAAGTTTAATTCATTTAACAAGGTACAGCATTATATATTCGGTTTCGAGCCATGTTAGTGATACTCTATTTGGCTAAATCAAACAAAAGTAGATGACGCAAGAATTGGACCTGTCATCTTTAATTCATTTCTATAAATCACAATTTAAAATGAAAAAGCTGTTCAGTGATCTTCTATTCACTATTTAATGATAACATTTCAATAAAATATCAATCATCAATAAATTTTTATTCCTCCCCAATAAAAGTTGATCAAATTTTCATAAACAATCTCTTTTATTTTATTTTTTTTATAAGTTTAACATAAAGCATAAACATAAAGAACAAAATAATAATAAATTAATAACAGAAAATTCTAATTGAATCAAAAGAACAAGAAGAAGGTTTTCAACCATCAAACCAACACTCAGAACAGAAATAAACAAAATAAATGAATTTTCAAGAAAACAATTATTTGCATATATCATGTATTAATTACATTAAGTAAACAAACTGTCAGTTTAATTGTGATTAATTCATAATGAGAGAAATCATCATCATTCTATCACTTAACGACACAATAAATATATATATATTCAGCTTTGTTTAAAATTACCAAATAAAAATAAGAAATCAACAAAGAACTTGATATGAAAGAAATCGAAAGTAAGTCATAAATCATGAGGAAGAGTATATATATATATATAATGGAGCCCATGAGAGAATGACTAAAAATCATAACCGTCAGTAATATGTATATACTAGGATGGATTATTCAGGAAATTAAAACAGACCTCACATACTCGAACTGGTTTAGAAAGTTCATATTTTACAATTGGTATTTCGAATGCTGAACATTGAGCACAAAGTAAACGTCCACAGTGGCGACTAGAAAAAAAGAGAAATGTTAAGATCATTAATTAAAGGTGCAACAACAATGGTGAAATATAATACGATTTTTAGTAGTTTAATGATTTGATGAAACATCAATACTGATAACGTGAGGAAACAGGGATTAAAAATACCCAGATACACACAGAGTAGTGGTTTCTGGTGGTTAAACTGGTCAAGATTCCACATTTACTTCAGGTGAAGAAGCCGATGATTACCAATCAACGAGATCTCAAAAAAAAAGTATGGATTAAACTTGAATACAGATACTCGTACTTTGTAAACTAGTCACATTTTTAACACAAAAGTTAATGCTATTGAATAATGAATTCAGTCAGTCAGTTATCATCAACATGTAGCCTGGTACATATGTGTATTGGGTCAAGTTACCATACAACATTGGCACAATGAGATGAAATTAACGAGACTAATGTCAACGACGTTGGAGTATTGGAACTACTAAAATTTGTTTATCCGTATCGAAATTCCGTTATTTAATCCTCATACGTGGATCTGGAGTGGATCAGAAGACAGTAAAGAGCATAATAACGAGAAGTACCAATATTATTTGTTATTGTTATTAATATTTACAATTTATGAGCGACTTGAATTGCTGAAGGCAAGTGATTATGGCTTGTGATTGTTGATAATAAAAAGGATCCTGTGCAATTGTTCATTCGTTTGTGGTCTCAGCGATTGCACAGATGGTCTTCTAACTTCCGAACGATGGCCGTTAGTCAGCATAACGATTGCGATAATGAATGTTAAAAGAGATTGAAATAAGGTTGTAGCAGTGATAATGACAAAGATTAATCATGGAAAGCTTGACTCGAAAAGATAGTTAAAGCGTATGTATGAGCGTGTACTACAATTTAAAACAGAGAAGAATTTATAGAAGGAATGCATATTTACTAATGTGAACGATTCTAGGGTACGTCACTCAAAGTCTCCAATCAGAGATCGCGAACGTCGCACAAAAAATGAAATATACGATTCATCAAGCTACGATCGGAAAACTGTATTTTTAATATTCATACTGTCTTGATTTGTTATACATAAACAGTGGTTATCACCGCTTTCGATTTATTATAAAGTAAATATTGAACTAAGAACAACATATTAATAAACAAGTATGTACATGAAATTCCATAGTTAAATGCACCAAAAAATGATTAAATTAATCATCAAATGACTGGTCAAAAATCAAGATCAAAAAACAAATCACTAAATCTTTACTTCTGTCTATCATACCAATGAAGAAATTAGATAGACGAATAACAAAAAACAAATTTTAGATTACAATAAATTACATACCAGTGATGTTTTCTGTTAGTTATACCAAACTTCACGCAGCATTCAACACAAACAGAACCATCTTCCCATCGAGGTTCTTGAATAAGTGAATCTAATCATTTTCATTAAAAAGAAATCACTTTAATAGACAAAACCAAATAGAAAAGTGTGGGCAACTAAATTTAATCAGTTTATTATAAAACAGGATATTTCTTTGTTAAAATATAGTATTGAGGTTAATTAGATAAATTTAAACAGATTTTGTCATCTAACAGATGTGTCTATTTCAGTTTCAGAGCTTTCATTCTCAAGTTATATTTTTATTTTATTGAATCGCCAGAGTCAAAAGTGTAGTGTAATGGAAAATGTTTAAAAAGAAGGATAATTATTAAAACATATGAATTTCAAGAAAAAAATGTACCTAGTAATTGTGAAAGAACATGTCCAGGAGTTGAACTTTTACATTTCTTTTTATTTAGACTAAACACAGTATCCCCTTCAGAATTCATAATTCCTAAAGATGCACCAGCTTGAAGTAATGCGGTACAAAGTGATATGTTTCCTGCTTGATATGCGAGAATTAATGCTGAAAGATGGAGAAAACAAAACAAAACAAGAAAAACTTATTAGGACCAAATGTAATTAATTTTTTTCTTAAGAAGATAAAGAATTAGTGACATGTAAGAAGAAATTAACATTTAGAAAATAAACAATATTTATGAATGTAAAACAAAATGAGTGACATCTTTTTTTTCAAAAAATGTATCCTTGAAATAATTTGACAAGTAGTTAAATCACAAGGTGATTTTTATTATGAGATTACTTGAGGGTTGCATTATATCAAGAACCAATTAGCGTTCCATAAGTAAATTGTTGCAGTGAAATTCACAGGTGCTCATTGTGACCCTTTTTATTTCTGAGATGAGGGTTATATGCGTATGAGGTTATGAATGAGCACTAATTTGAAGGGGCAAACTAAGATGAAGTAACATTCCAATTTATCAACCAATCAGGAAAATCATGCATAAATATAGGAACAAAAATCAAACCAATGGGAGACACAACCAAAACAAAGAAGTAAACAATGATAAATTTAAGGTCAACAAGAACCAATCAACATCGAGGTGCACAGAACAAGCTGTGAAACACATATGGAGAAATTCGAACACTTCACTTCTATCTGAAGTTTGTGCTGATGATGTCGTTCAGAAGAACGATGAAAGCTCCGCGACCAAACCATCCAGCTCAGAGAACAAAACACCACCAAAATTCTAGTGTCTTTTGCTTTATTATAGTTCGTTAAATGGCGTCACACCGTGGTGAAAAAACGCCAGGTAATGGCTTTTCTTGTATACATTTACTCAAATATTCACCTGTTATGTTTGTATGCTTTTTGTTACGTCTCTAGCAGATTCACACTCTATATTGTCAATGACTGACTGACTGCTTGCTAAAATAACACAGAAGATACTTTTATATTTTGAAGGAGTCGAACTCCATTGGTTAACAATTTACTTACAAATTAGGGTGAAATTCAAAATTTAACTATAACTAAAAAAGTCCGTACATATTTTTCCATGTCGTTTTAATCGATAGATTGTTGAACAGCGGAGTTCGTGTATAAAAGAACTGTATGTGTTCAGTAAATCAGAAACTTATAACAAAATCAAAACTAGGTGGCTTGAATTAAGATTATGATGAAAACCATTGATTTCCCATAGGAAATTCAAGTGTGATTTCAAAAATTGTGGCAGCCATTTGAAGTATGCTAAACCTGACAAGTTGTAAAACGAACTAACTGATAACTTTAATTCTTAAAATAACTAGATTGATTGAGTTTTGGCTAGTCCCTTGGGTTGATCGAATTATAACGAACAAGTTTTACTTTGACCACAAATTTAAGCGACTAGTCATTGTGAACTATGTTCCGCTGTCAGCTACTTGAAGGTAACCACCCAAACTAAAATTCGGAAATAATTTACACCATGAGGAGTAAGTCGAACTGCTGGTCACTTTACAGCATGATCAATAGAACTTGATAGGAAACATGCACACAGGCTACTGCTCAATGATCAATACGGATAAATATATTAAAACGAAGATTATCGTCTTCTTATTACATTATCGAAATTGATCAAAGGGACTAATTGTTTTATAAATATATTAGTCATATTGGGAGTCGATAATGCGTTGAATGACTTAATTTTAACATCGCCAGCTGTAACATTGGGTGATGATTCAAATCACAGTGAGGCTTGAGACTGCAGATCTATTATGCAAATAGGTGACAACTACCTAGGTTCAGAACCTTCTACCGATTGAAGAAGATTCATAAGAAACAGCTTATTTTAAATTATTTTATAACTAGTCGCATAATAATTAAATATTTATTGACAAAGAAGAATTTGTATTGTTATATAATTTAGACGCTTTAGTTTATCTTTCGTACTCGTAAGTCATACACTTTACCTGAATATTGTTCATTAAGGTTTTTTCTAATGCCTAAAATTATAATAGTTACTTATGCAGCGTAGAACGCGCCACATATTGGCGTCGATTCAAGTTGTTATACGTCATTCAAAATCACTAACCATTAATTATGATAATCCTACGAACTCCAACACGATAGTCCGCACGTGCCTACATGGCTTAGTTCAACTGTTGGTTAGTTCATAGACTGGTGGCACAGTTCAGCTTTGCTTTCTCCAGTTTTCTTCTAGCCTACTTCTCCTACATAAGCAAATATCCCCGGTCGAGGTAGGAGGTAACTCAATCACTTCAATTGAGGAAGTAGTTGGGATAATTAGAGCAAAACATCCTTCCTGATTCTTAATACATCTTGTAAAGTTATACCACAAACAGGTGAAATTAACAATTGCATTATTCACTAATGGTTTCCGATAAGAGAAAACGAATAAGAAGTAATTGAATAAACATGTCAACTTAAATATTGAATAATAAATGAATTATCAGAAAAAAAACTTTATTACATTAACCTAGATTATTGAATACATGTGAGATAAACAAATATTGTTGGACAAACACAAAAAAATTAGTATGCTAATATGAATAGTAAGAGATTAGATTAAAATTGGTATGGGAAGAAAACCAGTAAGTATGCAAACAAACAATTGCATTATTGAACAATGCAGATTTGTATGCATTTGCGTGTATATGACAAAATGTTACGGTATAAAAATCAATATTACATAAAATAACCATAGTTTTTATGCACTGACATTTTCTCATATGATCAACGTATAAACTACGGTTTATAAAATTAAGCAAGAAAATGGAGAAAAAGCCATGAACGGTGGAACTGAATCGTGTCGGGTGTGAGACAGTTACCGATTGAAAACAGTGGAAAATGATCGTGCAAAATCGTTGATTGGATGAAGTTACACACTGACAGTACTGGAGAGTGATTCAGTGATCTAAAGGTTGGGCGTTCGCGCGTGTGACAAAAGTTCCAGAATTCGATTCCCACGCCCCGAGTTTTCAATGATGGTCTAACTTGAATCGGTTTCAATGATTTCAATGAAATTAAACGTTTTATGTTACAGACTTATTAGATTAGATCGACTGACTACGATGGTGTGACTTTATTGAATAAAGTAATATTTTTATTGGATTTCATTCAGTTTTGAAAGTTTCCTCTGCAGTTCCAGTGTGACAATTATGAACGAATTGCTAGCCAGATATCAAGATAATATTAAACGAAAATACAAACCATGACAATACCATATCGCAAAAACTACTGACGTAAATTACTCACGAGTATTGCCAGCAGCATCTTGGGCATTGATTTGATTGGCAACAGATACCTCTAATAAATACTCAAGCATTTCAACACTGACTGGACCTTGATGTTGAGCCAGCAAGTGGATCGGCAATTGACCTCTAAATAAATTTGGGATTCATAAGTGTTTATCAGTATAGGGTTGTGGAGATTGTTGAGTTTTGATTGAGATCATGAATCGATTAATGTTGGACCACAACTGAAAACCTGGAAGCAATAGTGTAGATTGATTGAAGTTAGACATTAACACCGTTGGATGCCTACTTAGTGGTCTACAAGTTAAGAGATCGCGCACGAGGCCTAACTTTGTGGGTTCGAATCTCGCATGCGGGATCGTGGACGCGCACTTCTGAGGAGCCCCATACTAGGAAGAAACGGTCTTCCAGTGCTTCGAGGTTTTCAATAGTGGTCTAATATTGATCGATTCATAAATATTTGCAATCCACATGAAGATCAATTAAATGTAAGCATCAAATGGATGATTTGACAGTGTTAACTTTATTCTAAAGACTATGATGAATAAATCGACACGAGATGCGACTTCATTATATGAGAGTTCACAAACAAAAATTTCTCATCGTTCAAAGAATTTTACTAGATAGTATTTGGCTACTCATAAGTAGTCAGCTTACATATGATAAAAGAGTTGGATATAAAAAGTGAGGGAGTTTAATTCCATGTTGGATTGTTTATTGAAAGGGATTAGGATGGAACTAAAGTACAAAAACCTGGCACTGATGTTTCAAAAAAATTTGATTGTGATGAAGAAGTACAATTAGTGAAAACCGAGATTCAGGGTTAGAAATAATTTTGGAAATTAGGGTTAGATTCAGTGTTAGCCATTATCATTACATCTCAAAAAGAAACATAAATCCCAACAAATTTCAAATTGGACAAATCGTACTACTTATTCTTCTAGTGTGCCACGTTGGCATCGACGATTATTTTATTGCTTCCGATGAATTAGATGGCGGTATTTTGGCTATAAAGTCTAACAATATTCAGTGAATTTATATAAAGTTTAGACTCAGATACAAATATTCGCTCCTACCAGACCAATATAGACTTACAAGCTGAAAAAGCAAGCTCGCAAGAAGACTTACTTGCCAACCAATACTAAAAATGCTTATAGTTACTACGTGTTCACAAGTAATTAAATTCGTACTCATGAAGGTGGAGACCTTGGATGAGGTGAGCGGTTAAGTTGATGAGCAAAGAACGAATACACTTGTGCACAAACTATCGCACACATTTGTAAGACAATGGGGTCTGTGAAATCCTAATTAGTACATATACTGTAACATGTAACACTTAATACTAACTTATAAGAGGCCCTAGAGGTGATTTAGATAAACGTTAAATTAGTCACTTGAAAGTGATTGACACAATTTTTCTCTATTTGAACAGAATTATGGTAAAATCAAAAGTTATACACTAGTATATTTCATATAATGTTATTAGTTCACGTTATGAAAATTAAGGTGTTCAAGTATTCATTGTCACTTACCATCGTGATACTTCATAAGAACTACTGTTGAATAAATAAAGTGAAAACCCTTTTCACAATTCATACACGAATGTTAAATTGGTGAGATAAAAACATACAATCGAGATTATTTTTAAAGAATTACGATCAAATTGTAATATGTACACAAGATTATTATTATTATTATTATTATTATTATTATTATTATTATTATTATTATTATTATTATTATGATAGAAACTAACCTGATATTTATACAGTAACAATTTGTAGCGGAATGATTGAGCATTTTTACAAGACAATCTACTCTAGCATGTCGAACAGCTAGATGTAATGCTTACACAGAAATAAAAGATATTTGTTATCATGAAATAACTGAGTAATTGGAACATAATAATAATAAGTAGAATTTTATTTTTGTTTATTTGAACACATAAATATTGGTACAAAGGGGCACCGAATACATATGCGCCACACAAGTCACTTGATTTCTTTGTGGGCTGTAATACTGCCCGGTGCCCAGACCGAAGCAGGTAATAATAAGTAAAAACAATTTCATGTCACATGTTGTAAATAATATTTAGTGTACGAAGTTGGCTTAGATTCGAATTAATAAAGCATAAATCTGCATCGAAGATTTAACGGTTAAGAGTTGTGCGCTTAAAATGACTAAACTCAGCACTTTGTAAACGTTATAGGTAAACTAATGGAGATCAAGCAAATTATTGATGACACTCACTCGAATATTAATGTATTAAATAAGTCATTTGTCTTTAAAGGATTTAATGTCACGCTTTCCATTTGTTCTAACTAGGGGTGGATCTATAAATCAAGATTTACTAAAAATGATGTCTCGAAAGGTTGTTATTAAATTCATTACAGTTTAGCATGTTTCTACAAACCCCTATTTTCGTTAAAACGAATGTAAAACTACTTCTGTTTACACTTTTATATCTATTAATTTGGACATAGTGATTAATTAAAAGTAACTTAAAAGTGTATAAGTAATCACTTTGGATATTATAATTATTTTTTATCACGATACAATGCTAAGTTTAGAAAGAGTTTCTAAATAAGTTACATGAACTTTCTTAAACTAAACTTCATTTGAAAGATGGTAATGTTATCTGATGACTACCTACTTGATGTCAGTTTTGTGACTGAACTAAGTGCAAAGCCACCTACCTTCGTCATCGTAATATTTCATCATTCAAACAAACCTCCGTAACTGATGTCAATGCTATTTATTTTGAGTGATTTTTTAAAAGAGATTTATTGAAAAATGATTTTTCATTCGTTCGGCTTTGATCGGAAAGGTTGGTGAAATTACAAAATCCGTAAGTTGTTATTATCCAATTAGCAAGACGACGTGAAATTAACAAGATGCTTAGCAAAAGAGATCGGGATAATAAAGCAGTATATATACTTACGTGTATTACGTTCAGAATCTTGGGAATTGGGGTCAGCTCCATTCTCTAATAAACAATGTACTAATTCCGGTCTATTGTAAATCACAGCCAAATGAAGACCGTATTGTTTTTGTGGTGTTTGTGAGTTAATAGATGCACCGGCAAGAAGCTATTGATAATAAAAACAAAAAACCCACTCAAAATAACGATGAATGAAAATAAGATTTCTAAATGAAAATGTAATAACCTTTATAATATCAAGGAAAAAAAGGATTGTAATCTAAATGTTATGTAGACATGAGAAAGTAGATAACATTGTAAAGTATATGAGAACATACGAAATTTCACGGGACAACAAACTCACATACATTTCAACAATTAGATAAGTAAAAGAAAACGTTCTACTCAAAGTAAACATTCCATGGTATCGCTCAAGTCTACAGTCTGAAAAAGGATGACTAATTAATACAAATCCTAGGTTGACTAGTAAGTTTATATCAAAGAATTAATCTAAATAAGACGAGAACAGCAATCGTAATATGAATCATGCCTCTCAGTTGCTTGCCGGTTCAACAAAGCTCATAAAAATGTTATGAGAAACTTATCCATTTTCAAAGGGGATGCGACTTCAAATAGAATTTATAAAAAGGATTAAAGCGGCGTTAAGAAGGTATATCACTGCAGACTAACTGTTCCAAGTATATCATACCAAATATTCCTTACACCTACCAAAGGTTTATCAATATCCTTCTAAAGGTCAGCCCCAAATAGGCTAATGAATTGACATATAGCAAGTGTTGTTGATTGTTGTATGACAGATACTACATAAGTTTAATAGAGCCAAAGAGCAAATTTACGTGTTAAACTAAGAATCGAATTATTTGACCAATCTATTTTCAATTAGCAGCCAAAATAACACATTTCTTTACGTACTAATGTGATCATAAAATCAAATACGGCAAATAGGTTTTGAAAACATAATGTAAAGTAGTCACACAGCAAATCTAAGGAATTATAGAAATATTATAACTCATTACTAATGTATCATATGGTAATTCACTAAACAACTGATATTACAAATAAAACAATCTTCATATCTTACCAAACTACGTAAAATATCCTCATCTACGCCTGTTTTAATTGCTAAATGGAAGGGTGTGAGACGATGTGCATCACGTACACAAGCATTCATATCAACTCCAATTTGAATAAGAAGAAAAATAGCTTCACGATCGAAATTTTCTATTGCAATATGTAGAAAATTACGTCCTGAACTATCAACCTATTCATAATGCAAAATATTACAATTAGAAATTAAACGATAATGTTTATGTTGGAATGTTAACTCAATGCTAGGGAAAATGAATAAAACGAACAGCCTATAAGAAAGAGGTTCAAAAAAACGTTTATTTTCCAAGTTGAATATGTGATATAAATACACCTGAACTATTATTATTATTATTATTATTATTATTATTATTATTATGACTTATTAGGCGTCAAGATTTCTTTTCCTTTTACTCCGTTTCAGGTCCCTAAATTACGAATTCATAGACAAAATCTTGGAAAGTGAGGAAAATATCTACAAATTAGTTAGTATGTTGTAATACATGTTATCAGTCACACAACGGAAGCTACTCAAATCTTTAAGTAAATGAAATAAGGGTAGATTTTAAATAATTAACTGATAGAAAAAAAATTTATAGACTACTAAACTACCATTTTCATAATATATAAAAAATTTCCGTTATGAATTGATAAGCTGACTTTTTTTTATTTCCTGTTGTTACGAACACAAATATGTTGTATTTTTACTTGCACAGTCCCTGAACAATAACAGTCATCAGTAAAAAGGGGTTTATGAAGATTGTTAGAATATTTTCTTTACGTCACGAATTGATCTTAGACAACCATTGAGAATCAGGAAGCACTGAACAGCTGTTTCTTCCAAGCATGAGACTCCTAAATAGTGGGCATCCACTACCTTAATATGACTTGAATATACGGACTTCATTTTTCATGACGAGAGCTTAACTATGAGATGGCTCACTAGCCATCAAACGTTTATATATTTAGCTCTAATCCATTTGCCAAATTGCACAACCATTCTCCATTGCCATCCATGAGTAGCTTGCTTCTCACACCATAGTTGAACTCCACTGTCCACGAAGACGGTTGGGTAATATTCAGAATTGATCTAAATAAGATATGTAAACCGCTGAACAGAGGCTCAGTGGTCTAAAGGCTAAGCGCTCTCTGAAAAACAAAAAGGTCGAAGATTCGACCTTCATTAAGGTGGTAGATCCCCAATGGTTAGAAGACCCAAACTAAGAGGAAACAATTGTCTAGTGTTTCCTAGTTTCAAATGGTTGTCTAACTAAGGTTAGTCCGTAATATAAACTATAAAGTAACAAAATCAACCGAACTAATGGTATGGCATTAAAAAATGAATCAAAAGCTAACCAATCTACATAACATTAAAAAAAACTTTCATTCCTAATCAGTAACTAACTTGTAAAGCTAAGGAAGGGTCTTTTTTCAAAAGACTTTGTGCAATTGCACGTTGACGTAAATCCACAGCTACATGAAATACGGTGTATGCTTGTGCATCACGAACGGTATAGTCTATTTGAGGTGCTTCAATTAACAGGTTGGCAAGTTTTTCATTTTTTGATCTGATTGCCAAATGTAAGGCAGTTTCACCATTATAATCCTAGATGAAGTAAGACAACATGAAAATATTGATCGCATCGTGTCTATATATATAGGATAAAGACATGATACTCATGTAATTTATTCCAAACATGATCACTATAATCCTCCTAAAGTTTTTTCATGATAACACCAAAACTTACTGTTTTCTACAGTAATATTAATGCATACAATAAATATTTAGACTAACGGACAGTTTAGCCAAACGCTTCACAAAAAATACAGGTTTAGGTTCAAAGATAATGGATAGTGCGTGTGTGTATAGGTGAAATCCGATAATCTGTAAAAAAAACTCGGTTGGATTCAAGGTGAATGAGCAGAGGGGTGACCTAAAACTATATTTAACTAAAATATGATACCTATTATAGAAGTTGCCAATAAAAAGATGGTTAAATTAGCCAGCGTTAAACTAGTGAGTACAGGGGTTCGAAACTTGATACAGCTGATTTGGTGTGAGCAGCTAGATAGATTCGCAAGCATATGAAATAATGACCCGAAACAGTGATAATAAATAATAACTTAGCATGATGAGCTTCGCTAAACTATTAACAATAAAACTGAAGAATTACACCGTGCTTATAACTCAGATAATCATTTAGTTATTTTCTAATAATTATGTTATGTTGAAATGAATAAAATAGGATAACAAACTTCGAAAGTCAATTCTTGGGATTTTAGTACGCCTAATTTTTAATATGTATGTAGCAGAAGACAATGAATAAAATTTTCATATTCCACAAATTGTAAGATTTCATTTGACTGTTGGTATATTTTGTGATGCTCGAAACTTATACATGAAATTCGTCATATAAGTTTAGTATGAGGATTTTGTACCCAAAATGACATTTTTCGACTTTCATCGGATCTGTTAATTATGGTTTGTTGTGAACCATGATACCTTTGGTCAATCAGATGTAAGCCAAATGATGAGCCTAACCAATTCTCTACGAATCTATGAGATACTAGTATTAAAACAAAATACAACTTTCCAGCAGCGTGTAAGTTTTGAAATATATTTTATAGATCGCGCCTAGTCGCTAATTTAAACGTATGTATAGATGATCCCAGGACCATAGATCAAAACGTTTAGCTGGCAAAATACCAAACAGAAATTTACTACGCTACAAAATACAATGAGAAAAATGAGAAAAATCTAAATCCTTTATCACATATACAAGAGATTGTGTAGAATATGAATGACTGAGTAATCGAGAAGAAATGCTGAATCTGAGCTTTAACCTTTTGATTAGTGAGTAGTTCAAAGGCCATGACACCCCACTCCAAGAATCAATTTTTTATCAGTATTAAGGTATCACATCTAATTAAAACTACAATGTGACATTCAAAAAGTCTGTAAAGCTTACTCTTTGTTGATAACTTTTGAAAGTATTCCAGTTGATTAGTTACTGTTACTTTCAAAATTAACATTTCATGTGAAGTTGTACATACCATTCACAACTTCATTGGGCATCTCTATCTATAAACATTTAATTCACTTTTTACAAAAATATTCATACAATCTTTTATTGATGCAATAAAGACATTTACCTGTTGGTTAATATATACACGATTACTGGAGATAAGTACTTGAACGAGTTCATACATTCCAATTAAAGTGGCCATATGCAGTGGTGATCGAGCTAATTCTGGTATAATATGATCTGATTTTTTCTTATCTACTGAATAATCAAACTGTGCAAACGCATTGACATCACAGTTTCTAATTGAATAATTGTTTGACAATAACAGTTGAGAAAGAAAAGCTAATGAAAATAAATCCTAAAAAAGTGTGTGTATGTACAAAAATATTTTATACAACGGTTTGAAAATTCTAGACTCTGATTGACCGAACTTTCAGATCCACACAGTTCTCATCTGCTAGAGAATAGTATTCACAATCCCACAAATAATAATCCAACATTATACGACAAACACACATGAGCAACAAAATAGCTATTAGTTTCCCATTCGGATTCTTTTATTGACAGTGTTCTTTAGCACTATAGGAAAAAGTAGTCAGAAACGCATTTTCTGTGACCATAATCACGTTCGAAACTAATTAACTATTTGCACTTGCTTCATTATTTTGGGCTCATGATTAGGAACAGAGATAATTAACCCACAAATTACTGACTTTTTACATTTAAAAATGATAATTGACGCCATTTTTAAAGCTAGTAATCTTATTAGACGGGAAGTGACAGTGATCCATAATGGGAAGGAAGACAAATATTTAATTGATGGCTGGGTCGAGATGAATAGTAAGGTAAAAACACTATGGTATTAATGTTTAATGACATGATTGGTGGTCCATTCATGAATTAATGAACACTACTTAATTTAGTGTGGTACACACATATCTTTACAAATATTTATACTTTTATTTGTACTATACATGATACACCGAATTTGTTTAAAAATAAGATACTTCAGTGATAATCAATAAGACATTCAGTATAAGAAGGAAAATAGGTCTTTATAACACAGTGTTTTGTGGTTTCAGAAACTATGTTAGTTAGTAATGATCGACATAGGGCCTGGTACAAATGTATGCCAACACATGATGTTATAGAACATCGCCAAGGGGAGAACGAAATCGAAAAGATATATACCAAAAGCACTGCAGAAATCGATTGTGGTGAGAAAGAGGAAATATTAGATAAAACTGTATTAAAAACAGCGGATACAGTCAAGCAATATGAAATAATATTTAAACTATAGACTTAGGAGACACAAAGTGAATGGATCCGCGCCACTGAAACCAACTCTGAGATAAATTAACAAACACTAACATACTGATTCATCTAACCGACTTTTGAGTAGCAAAAAAACAAATACTTAAGCAAAGGTGGTTGAATTAAAAGAAAGTTCATTCTATTTAGGCTCTCTACTCGAACACAACTGGTAGAGTGAGAGCTTATGGCGAACTGTCATCAGAATTGATCACCTTAAGTGGTGTTCGTCAGGGCTGTCCACTCTCCCCATTCTTGTTCAACTTTGTCATTGACGTACTTTTAGAGATAACACTCTCCTCATCTAAATTTACAGGGGTTGAACTTCTACCAGGAGGTTCACTTGTTGACTTAGAATATGCAGATGACATAGTTTTATTTGGTGAAGACGCTGACAAAATGCAGAGTCTTCTGACCACTCTAAGCAACAATGCAAGCATGTTCGGGATGCGATTCTCTCCCTCGAAATGCAAAATGTTGCTTCAGGATTGGGTTACATCGACACCCGAACTAGTGATAGGGAGTGAAGTAGTTGAGTGTGTCGACCGCTTCACTTATCTTGGAAGTCTCATCAGCCCTTGTGGTTTGGTGTGTGACGAAATCTCAGCACGGATACAGAAGGCTCGACTAGCTTTTGCCAACTTGCGTCATTTATGGCGTAGGCGAGATATCCGTCTATCAACCAAAGGACGTGTTTACTGCGCAGCAGTTCGCTCCGTCCTTCTTTATGGCAGTGAAACATGGCCGGTAAGAGTAGAGGATATCCGTAGGTTACTAGTATTCGATCATAGGTGTCTTCGAAACATTGCTCGTATATCATGGGACCATCGAGTAAGTAACACAGTTGTTAGGAAACGGGTACTAGGTAAAGATGGCAAATCAATTGATGACGTAGTGAAACTTCATCAGTTGAGATGGCTGGGACACGCGTTACGTATGGCCAACGACCGACTGCCTCGACGTGCTATGTTCAGTGGTATAGGAGTAGGTTGGAAGAAAGCTAGGGGCGGCCAAACCAAAACATGGCTCAAGTCCATGAAGTCACTGACAAGTGAACTGAGTCATGTTGGTAGGTGTAGACTACCTGGTTGGGGACCGCGAGATGACAGCAACCGATGGTTAGAGACCCTGAATGACATGGCTCAAAATCGTTCGCAATGGCGCAGGTGCATCCACTCTCTGTGTTCTCCCAAACTCTAATCTTCTGAATTCTTCATGTCCCTTTTTCCCTCTTTCCAAATTTCTTTCACTGGATTATACTCTTTAAATAACATCTCCAAACCCTAATCTTCCCGATTACTGCTTATACTCTTGCTACCTCTACCACTACGGGATTTGAATCGACCACTGCATCTCTGTGCTAATGTGGTGTGGCAACTCGAACTGATGTACGTACGTACGATGTTCTACGTTGTTACTGACTGACTGACTCATTCTATTTAGTATATCATTGTCAAACACAGAGGTGCTAACCTATGAGTAAGAGTTTCAACTTACTGTGAAGTTCCCTACACCTTAACGTTAGGCAACCCTAAAATGTGAATACACTGAAGAAGCATTATCAAAACCTAAGTACAATGGTAGCAAATATTAGGTAAGAAGAGAAAATCATTCAGTAACACGAAAACAGGTATACCACAACTAACCGTTTCACTAGAAACACACCAGCCTCTTCATTGTTCTCATGGATTGCCCGATGTAGTAGAGTGACTTTTGCATTTGTTCCATTAAACGGTGCCCATGAATTAACATCAGCTCCATGATTCACCTAGTGATCAAAAATTTATACTTTAAAATTAATGAAAGTGACGAGATGAGTAAATTACCCAAATTACTGATTACTTTCAAAAATGAAGATATACTTAAAAATGTGGTGAATTATTGAAATTTTCGAATGAACGCAATTTCGTAGTTTATTTTTTCATTTCGAATATGTATTCTAATCAACTGAACATGCTGCTTTTTACATTTCTTTGACGTTATACATGTCAAACACAAAAGATATTGTTTTTTATGTAGTATAACAAATTTTGATCCGGGTATTTTATGCAACAGACTTTATTAAATCACTTTAAGCATGACTTCATAAATGGATATATAATTTCACTCAATCTAACTTTCAATTATTTTTTTAAGTAATTCGATCTTCCTTTGGTTAATAATTACTTACTACTTACTTACGCCTGTTACTCCTCGTGAAGAAGCATAAGCCGCTCACCAGCATTCGCCACCCAACTCTGTCCTGGGCAATACTTTCCAGCTCCTTCCAGTTGTTATTCATCCTTTTCATATCTGCTTCTATTATCCGACATGATGTGTTCTTTGGCCTTCCTCTTTTCTGCTTCCCTTCAGGATTCCAAGTTAGGGCTTGCCTCGTGATGCAGTTTGATGATTTGCGTTATGTATGTCCATCCATTTCCATCGTCTTTTCCTAATTTCTTCATCATCTGGAAGCTGGTTTGTTCTCGCCCACAAAACGCTGTTGCTGATGGTATCCGGCCAGTGTATGTTGAGTATATTGGGAAGACAGCTATTTATAAATACTTGTACTTTCTTGATTGTGGTTGTTGTAGTTCTCCAAGTTTCAGCTCCCTACAGTAGAACTGCCTTGACATTCGTATTGAAGATTCTCACTTTGATATTGGTTGAAAGTTGTTTTGAGTTTCATATCTTCTTCAACTGTAGGAATGCGACCCTTGCTTTGCCAATCCTTGCCTTTACGCCTGCATCTGAACCACCTTGTTCATCGATGATGCTTCCCAGGTATGTGAAGGATTCTACATCTTCCAGAGTTTCGCCATCAAGAGTGATTGGATTGCTGTTCTCCGCTTTGAATTTGAGGACCTTGGTTTTCCCTTTATGTATGCTGAGGCCTACTGATGCAGAGACTGCTGCTACACTGGCTGTCTTTATCTGCATCTGTTCGTGTGTACGTGATAGGAGGGCTAGGTCATCTGCGAAGTCCAAATCGTCTAATTGATTCTGAGCTGTCCATTGTATTCCGTGTTTTCCTTCAGATGTTGAGGTCTTCATAATCCAGTCGACCACCAGAAGAAAGAGGAAGGGAGAGAGTAAACAGCCTTGTCTAACTCCGGTCCTTACTTGGAATGCATCTGTCAGCTGTCCTCCATGCACTACTTTGCACTGTAGTCCGTCGTACGAATTCCTGACGACACTGACAATCTTCTCAGGTACTCCATAATGTCGAAGAAGTTTCCATAATGTCTTCCTATCTACACTGTCGAATGCCTTTTCATAATCAATGAAGTTGATGTATAGTGATGAGTTCCACTCAACTGATTGTTCGACGATGATCCGTAGTGTTGCAATTTGGTCTATGCACGACCGATCCTTACGGAATCCAGCTTGTTGATCTGGAAGTTGGGCGTCTACTGCATCCTTCATCCGGTTCAGCAACAATCTGTTGAAGACTTTCCCTGGTATTGACAGTAGTGTAATGCCTCTGTAGTTTTCACATTTGCTCAGATCTCCTTTCTTTGGAATCTTGACGAGGTGTCCTTCTTTCCAGTCCATCGGCACTTGTTCCTCCTCCCAAATCTTTTGGAATAGAAGATAAAGCATGTTTGTGGTTGCTTCAATGTCTGATTTCAGTGCTTCAGCTGGTATGTTGTCGGGTCCCGATGCTTTCCCGTTCTTGATTTGTCTGACGCCCATTCTGATTTCTTCCTTCGTTGGTGAGTTGACGTCTATGGGAAGATCTGTGTGTGCTGCTTTGATGTCCGGTGGATTCATTGGAGCCGGCCTATTCAGGAGTTCCTCGAAGTATTCTACCCATCTGTTCCGCTGTTCTTGAATTTCAGTGATTGCCTTGCCTTCTTTGTCTTTGACCGGTCTCTCTGGTTTATTGTATTTCCCTGATAGTTTCTTCGTTGTATCGTAAAGCTGTTTCATATTTCCTTCTCTATCAGCTTTTTCCGCCGTCTTTGCTAGTTCTTCCACGTATTTCTTCTTGTCGGCTATAATGCTCCTCTTCACTTGCTTGTTTGCTTCTGTGTATTTAGCTTTTACCTGGAATTTCTCTGCTCGTGTTCGGTTGTTGTTAATTGCTGCCTTCTTGTTCTTCCTTTCTTTGATCTTGTCTAGAGTTTCTATAGAGATCCACTCCTTATGATGGTATTTCTTTAGGCTCAGAACCTCTTGACACGTTGAAGTTAATGCTTCTTTGGTGTCTTTCCAGTTGTCCTCCATAGTAGTTTCTTCTTCCTTCAGTAGATCTTGTAAGGCTTGGAACCTGTTGTTGAGAGCTATCTTGAATTCATTGAGTCTGTCGGTATCTCGAAGGAAGGCCGTATTGAACCTTTGTATTGCTGTTTGTCCAGTTCTTTTTTAGCTTCAGTTTTAAATTGGCTACAACTAGGTGGTGATCTGAAGCTCCGCCTGTAGCTCTTCTAGAGTTACTGCCGGTCCCAAGCCCGGGTAAAGGAGGAGGGTTGGGTATGGGGTTAGCGTCCCCATCCCGTAGAAAACTAACTCGCTAAAAACGCTTTTGTTAATAATACTTTTGTGTAATTCAAAAATTGAAGCACAGTACTATACTGCTTAAATTGAATAAATCCAAATTGAAGCTTAGAAAAAAACTACACATCGAAATTCTCGTGAAAAATCCACACTCTAAACGTTTTGTAAATTCGAACCATAAACTGGATTTTAAAACTACGGGGAAGAAATAATAAGTTGGAGATCGTTAGCCAAAATTGACTAAGTGGTAAGTGTGAAATTTATAGTCACAATTAAAAAATAAGAAATTTTAGGGGAAAAGATTTCGAATAAACCATCATAAAGGGAAAAGCATTAAGCGATATTGACTGGACAAGTAAGTTTGGTTATATAAAATAACTGGTAGGTTTCATAGTGGTTGGTACATATCAGAGAAGAGTATCTTCTATATCACGGGAACTGATGTGATTCGCTAGAAGTTCTAAAACTAATCACTCGATGCCGCAGCTGAGGGTAACGTCCTGTAAAGCTGATATGTGTACGTTCATCGGTTAGTAACTTACCGGCAACAGAAATACATAGGTTGTCATACAACTTAGTTAATGTTGTATGGTCCTTTATACAATCAACAATTACGTAATTAATCAACAGCTAAATTATCTATGAAATCTATTGATTCAAAAATATATGATCAATGACACATGATCTAAGTAGATTATTTCATACAAATAATTAAAACCACTGTTCGCATTTGTTAACTGTTACTTATTACATTTGTCTAGAAATCGCTGAACTAGTTAAAAAGCGTTTATATTGCGAACAAATAAGTATATGATAATGATAAACACATCGAATCGAATGGTAGTAACAAACCAAAATTTTGTTGGGAATCAATTGCATTTTTTCGATTCATTATAGCCTACAGATTAGCGTTCATTTTCTAATGTAACCTAGCTTCAAGTTTCAAGTATCATACAAACACAGGATGTAGGCTTTGAGTATGAGATGAAAATTATTTTCGTTGTTTCAAGTAATTTAATGCTAGGTCAGTATAAAAAAACAACTGAAGTCTCCACTAACTTTGTTAACTTATAGACTTTATTTATGCTATTTATTCAGATTAGAAAGAAGCGCTCCTACATCAGCTTAACCCCAGATGTACATCAACTGACAAATATTGATCAGTTTGATACTAAACACATGAATGACATAATATGCTTAATAATAATAATAATAATAATAATATACTAGCACAAGATACATTGATTGACACGGAGCAGAAGTTTCAGAATTGCTAAAATAACAAGTTGTATGGTATGAAACAAGGCTAATTTACTGATATTGTAAGTATATCAGAAAGGTCAATCGTTGGTAATCAGAAATGACCTAAAGGATAAGTGCATCACATTGGCTAAAAAATGGATTAATTTCCTAAGGATTTCAGTGGCATATATATATATATATATATATATATATATATATATATATATCAATGAGTAATTGTGCATATTATTCGGTAGCTCAATACACTTTCTCGCCCACTCACGTGTGGTTAGTTGGGGGGAGGGGGTTAGCGCCCAGACACCCTGGGTATCAGTACCACATTTCAGACACCCCTTGTTACAACATTCACGTAAAGATCTAATACGGTGAACTATATGCCGATAAGAATAAATCACTCTTATTACTTACCTTTTCATATTTAAACTGTGGAAATTCGGTAGAATTGAGTGGAAAACACTTAATAATAGGAGAATGTTAATATCACTTACCAAATAATCAGCTACTGTCCATCTTCTCAATTTCAATGCAGTCCATAGAGGGTTAATATATGACTGACAGTCAGTTTCGCTGAATAATTTTTAAAATGCAACAAAAGAATAAATAAAATGTGGTGTTTAATTACTAAACTTTTCATTTAGATAAGAAAGTGAATGCGGAATTTCAAATTACTTATTTATTCACAGAAGACAGTTGATAAAGTAGAAATAAACAAATGATTTGATGTCTTTTTATTGCCAAAACCAAATATGTAAACTAAAAGTAGCAAGGAAAATATCAGCTCTGTCTACTAAAAACCAGAGGATAGTACTTAATTTTTGGCAGCCTCGAACGGATCACAATAAATAAAGTAGCAATGAAACTCAGTAAATATTTCTGTATTCTCCCTTGAGATAGAATTTTCGTATGGAGCTAGTCATACAACCAAAGGCTTCATCAAACCAAATGGGAGAATTCCGACCTGCAGTCAAGCACATTAACCATACCGAACACCATTCATGACACAAAGGCTGCTATATCCAGCCCTATTGGTTACTGGAATTTTAATTTCGACAACACTATACTCACTCGGTTTAAATTGTCTATTCTGGTTAACATATTTTGGCAAGGTTGATTTCTATGGGGTGTAGTTGATGACTCCATGCCCAACCATCCACCTTTACTCGGACATGGAACCTTCAGTAGCCATAGAAGGGACGTCACTATACCAAAAATCAGAGAAATCAACATGGCCATCAAAAAATCAACAGACGAAAAGCAATAGGACCACACAACATACCAGCTGATGCACTGAAGTCACACGCAGAAATAACTGCGAATATGCACCATTTCCTACTTATGAATTGGGGGGAAGAAAACTGCCACCGACAGACTGGAAAGAAGGATATCTCATCAAGATACCAAAAAAAGAGATCGCAGAACGTGTGAGAATTACACAGACGTCACACTATTTTCGGCGACAGGAAACGCTTGTTGCTGAAACGGATGAACGATTCAGTAGACAAACAGCTACGAGACCAACAGGACGGATTTCGTAAGGACCGGTCGTGCACAGCCCAAATTGTGGCACCACAGATCATCGTTGAACAATCGGTCGAATGAAACTCGTCATTATACATCAACTCGATTCACTATGAGAAAGCGTTTGACTATGTGGATAGGAGAACTTTATGAAAGGTTTGGAGTTCTTGAGATTGTCAACATTATACTCATACGACGGACTACACTACAAAGTCGTGTAAGGAGAAAAGCTGACAGGCGCATCCTGAATGAGGGCCAGAGTCAGACAAGGCTGCATACTCCATATCTGACGAGAAACACGTAATACAATGACCAGGTTAGATGCAACTAGACGATTTGAACTTCACAGAAAACCTAGCCCTTCTATCCCATACAAGCCAACAAATTAAGATGAAGACAACTAATGTAGTATCATGTCTCAACATGTACAAGGGAAAAAACAGGATCCTCAAATACAACACAGAGCATCAACACAATCACACTTGATGGAGAAGCTCTGAAAGAGGTGGGAACTTGCACGTACCTGGTGAGCGTCATCGATAGACAAGGAGGATCTAATACAGATGCAAACGCATAGGTCGGCAGATCAAGGCCAGCATTCATACAACTGAAAAATATATGGGACTTCAAACAACTAACAAACAACATCAAAGTGAGGATCTTCAGTACGAACGTCAAGACAGTTCTATTGTATGGAGCTGAAACGTGGAGAACTACTACAACAATCATCGGAAAAGTACAAGTATTTATAGACAATTATCAACGCAAGATACCAAATGTCCGTTGACTTGATAGCATCAGTAACAGCTTACAGTAGGAGAGCACAGACTAGCTCCCAGTTGAAGAGGATAATAGGAAAAGACGATGAACTTGATGGATAGGACATGCATTACGGAAATCACCAACTGCATCACAAGGCAAGCCATAACTTGGAATCCTGAAGGGAAAAAGAAAGAGGCAGAAGACAGAATACATTGTGTTGGGCATTGGAGGCAGACATAAAAAAATCAACAGCACTTGGCGACAACTGGAAAGACTTATCCAGGATAGAGCTCGATGAGGAATCCTGGTGGCAACCCATGCTCCATGAGTACGTGAGTGAGTAATAATTATCAAATCATTGACGGTAATTACAAAACATAACCTAAAAATGCACAATGATCCGTAAATGCTATCGATTTTGCGTATCTATTAAACGATAAAGAGATCGCCAAGGTATGACTGCCTGAATTGGTGGTACTAAGGGGGTTAACATCAATGTGTAAGACATCAAATGAGGAGAAACATGTTCAAGAAAGTATATTTAGCATCCAGTTGTCACCTGAATACATGAAATCAGTAACAATAAATCAAGAGATTTATGTATAAGCATACAAACACTACATTGGCTTTCTGAAACTGATACGTTTGTTAAACTTCCGGTGAAATAAAATGAAAAAACCGATCATGTCATTGTGAGCAGCTGAAAGGCAATAAACGGTTCCCAATTTTCAGAAACACGCATATCGTTTTTGATCATTTACAAACCATACATCTTTATTTTTTTACATAGTTTTCATAGACATCCGCCATATTAAAGTTGCCCAAAATTTTTCTCGATCAGTAAAAAATTCAGTCACAAGACCATATGCTACTTCAAATGTAACCGACTGGATATACATATCACATTCACTGACATAACTAAGTAATATAAATACAATAATACATCAATCAAAGAATAATGAAATTATAAAAAATGCGTTGGAATAACATCCATAACATATACGGTTAGGATGAATTTGGTAAATAGACACGAAAACAAACATAAAGGAGACAAATATTTAAATATAACTAATATTTTTAAGACCAGTAGAAACTATGAAATAATACTTCTCATTAATATCAGCATCATGTTCGACCAAGAATTTCACAACTTCGAATTGGTCACGTTCAATGGATTGAATCAATAAAGATGGCTTATTACATTTTGTGGGTATTTTATTTAGAAATGATTGAATAGCGTTATCGGATTCATTGAATTTAGAGTCATGACTAGCTGATGTATCCTTTGATTGATTACACATAGATTCTAATATTCTCTTGACCAACTGAAACTGCTCCGACCACAAAAGTAAGCTGATGACTGAATCACCAGACTCATTCAATAGCAACCAATCAACATTAGCTGTGGATAATAAATAGAGATAAACAAAACGTAAGGAACATATGCCTGGAATCTAACTAGATAGATTACTAAGGTGTAAGTAGAAATTGACAGGTAGGAAATGAAATATGACGAGAAAGTATAAAAAACTAGACAATTCACACAATTGAATTTTGGCCCATGAATTATTACTTAAGAGATATTTTGGTTAACAAAACGACCAGTGGTTGTAGTTTCCACAGAATGAGCTAGATTTAAAAACCAGTTAATTGTCTGTAAATAGCAAGTAAATCAGAGCTCAATTTTATGTTTATGGAATATATCTTTTCTGTGGCATCAACTATCACGAAATCTGAACGTTAACTAGAACTCGTTGTTAACAAATCACATATATTCATCTTATTACCGTCTGTCTTGTGAATGTGGACAAGTGAACAATTTTACAGTTAGTTAAGTACACGCGTTGTATCTTAAAAAATTAACTTAAATCATACGAAAAGAATTTCGTGAACTGTCATTTTAGAAGTTTAAAGTCGCACGCGAAAATAAAGATTTGGCTTTATAAAAATCTCATTCACATCAACCAATTTTCAGGGTCACACCTAATGGTCTCACAAATACTTAAAAAATTCCCATTCCCTTATTATCACCAGCAATGATAAGCAGACGTCGACGTATCTACTTATTTCTCAACGATTGGGTGTTTGGGACCAAAGAATAACACAGGATAGTGTGAATTTGAGTTGTTAGCCACTGCGTTTATTGGGTTGTTCAGTTACATAGCGTAACAGTCATGCTGAATTTGATTTCGACTAGCATATCAGGAACACAAAAACCATAAGACCGTGCACACGCTACTTATGTTAAGCATGAAAACTGAAAATAATGAATTTATGACTTTTGATTTTTGTCAGTCCTCCTGGACGGAACACTAAGAAAAATATATCAAACACAAGCTGCCACAGTTTTCGAGAATATACATAAGGAAATTGCACAAATATACGACCACAATTTATCCAACCAACATATGACGACTGACTTAGTAAGAGTAGATTTGAAGCGTTATCAAACTGATCGAACCATTATATGAAGCTGTTAAGTTTATACTTACTGATTTAGGTTATACGAAGAAGTTCCCCAAATGGTCTATGGGAATTCCCTAGTAAAAAGTGACTCAAAAACAGTTTCAATGACAGATGTGTCCAGTTTTAACATTTTGTTATCATAAACATTTTAATATTCATCTTTTTATTAGAGATTCGTTATTTTGCAACCAGCTGTCACTATTTGCGATGATATTCCAAAGTACAGGAAAGGGCTGTGTGGTGTAATGGTTTAAGGAGAAATGACCTTCAAGCGTCAAGGTTACGAGCGTGAATTCTACTTTACCTATTTGGGTTAGGGTAACTGGATAGAATAATTAGCCATGAGGCAGTAACTTTAAAACAGTAGGTTCCAAGTACAAACACCGTTTCATCGGCATAAGTTTGAACAATTAGACAGTATCATTAAAATTCACATTAGAAAGTCTGATTGAAAGCTGAGTACATGGATCTGTACTTTTTATATTTCTCATACGTCATCGTACAAAAATGAATGGGAGCTTATATGAAGTTATTGAAACAGTTCAAATATACCATTCGGTCAGTCTTGAATTTCATTAGCTAATTAACCATAAAGATTACCATATAACACTTTACTGATCATCTTGAATGCAATAGTTTAACTGGTTTACTAAGTGCATGTTTAAGTACTCACCTTTCAGTCGCATTTTTTGTGTGAGAACTTATGATAAACTCCAGCTACCTGATAATACAGTTACATGGAGTTCGAACTTGTGACCTAATGATTGAAAGCAAAAGTTGCTAGACCAACAACCCACTTTAAGTTACTCAATGTATGATCTACCAAATCCAAACTGAAAAGAGACTATAAAGGAATAATGTATGCTGACTAACCGTTGTTTTCAAGATAAAATTCGAGTATTCCAAACATTTTGTGTTGTACAGCAAGATGTAAAGGACTGCAGTATATTTGTTGGGTAGACTTGTGGTCACTTTTAGTTTCTCTCAATGATGATGAATCTAATACCGATGGAGTGGAAATAATAGTACCGTTAACTGCTGAGTCAGTGGATAAATGTGAACTATTCACTTGACATGATATATTATCCATAGGGTTAGATAAGAGATTGCAGTAACCATTACTTTCATAGTCATCGTCGAAAGGATTTGATGACTTCGTAAAGTTCATTTGATTAGCTTCTTTCACACAAGTACTTTCGTAAGAAGTTTGTGACAGGATTTCCTAAATAGAACGGAAATTATCACTTTATGTCGTATTATTTTCTTTAATATGAAAACGGTATGAAAAAAATCAGAATCTTGTACAGAAATGAAAGGAAACGTCATGTTCTACACGAAATAAATTATTATGGCCAGATAAGTGTTAATAAGGACAAGGGATCAGTTAAACCCCAATTTGTAAAATTACAGAAATGAATCTACTTGCAGACAGAGCAAAAACAACGAGGTTTGAGGAATAAACGAATTCATTAGTCCATTTCACGGGTTCTCATCAACTGCATACAACTTAAAATAACAATTATTATTATCAATATTAACAAATGTTTTGTACACTCCAGTATGTGAAGTTCAGATAACTGTTTGAAAGATAAGCAAAATCGCAAAAATAATAAAAAGAATGGGGATACACAGTGTATAAACAGACATAAGTAAGACAGATGGGTATTTACGTACTAAAAATTAATAATTCAAAGATGCTGTAAAGGTAATGAAATTAATAATAAGTGATCGTATTATAACTCACATGATGAAATAAGCAGATATACGAATATCAATAAGATTGTGTAAGGTGTGTATATCAGCAGACGGAATAAAAACAATATAAACCATTTGAACTCTATCCTGACAGCTGAACGATCATCATTAGGAAGAATCATGACGCCGTATTGTGAAAGCCGAGATTCTTCGGAAACCACAAGGTACATTCCCATTCTAACAACCAGAGCAACAACTAACATTCCTTCGAGATACTGAAAAACTCAACCAATTCACGATAACTCTCAATAATAAGTTCCAAGCCTTACAGGATCCACTCAAAGAAGAAACTACTGTGGTGGACAATTGGAAAACGATCAAAGAGGCACTAACTTCAACATGTCAGTAGGTTCTGGACCGCAACAAGCATCACCAAAGCGAATGTATCTCGATCGAAACACTGGACGACATTCAACAAAGGAAAAACAAGAAGACAGCAATTAACAACAGCTGAACAAGAACACACAAAGTCAAGGTACAAGCTGGATACACAGAAACAAACAAAAGATTGAAAAGAAGCATTAGAACCGACAAGCAGAAATACATGGAAGACCTAGCAGCGAAGGCGCGAAAAGCTGCAAGAGGAAGAAATAAAAAACAACTATATGACACTATGGAGAAACTGGTTGAAGAATATAGAAAACCAGAGACCGGTCAATGACAAAGAAGGCAAACGCATCACTGACATTCAAAAACACAAAATCAATCGACTTATACCTTAACCTGTTGTTAAGATGAAGCAAATATGTAATTCAGTAACTTATTAAATCGCTAGTTACGTCGGTTAAATCTATTCGTCTTATAAATTTTAAACATGCATTTGTTAGTCACTCAATGTACATCAACTATTGCCTAATTCAATATATTGAAATTTACCTATCGACCAGATAAGTAAATCATATATAATTTAGTGTAGTTTGATATAGTTTTTGAATTAGCGGTTAGATTATTTGTGGATTTTTTGTAGGTGCATAAATAAATCTTCGTCTGCAGTCTTGCCTTCTCCAGTGTATTAAATCATATCAGTCTTGTGTTGTGGCAGGCAACAGTTTTTCAACAGTTATAACGAGTAGTAATATCGGTATCTTATTAAACCGCAACATATATCTTCCTTCATAAAATTAAGACTGTCGCAAAAATGTTTTCAGAAATTCGGATCACTCAAATGGTATATATTATACTACTACTATATTATTATACTACAGGTATGGACCTACTAAATCCAAATGATCGATTTCTACTGACAAATGTACTTTTTGGACAGTCATTGGTACAGTATATTATGGAATTGAAAATTTCCTATTCGACTTACATTAAAAAAACCACAAAAACAATTATTTTAATAAATAATTAGATACTTAAAGTAATCTATAAAACATCCCACTTTTTAGCCCAATCGTTATTAAAAAATTGTACTAAAACTGCAGTGTTAATTAAAAATTGTCCGAGATATATCTACCTCACTGTCTGATGTTATTATATTAACTTTGGAAAACCGTAAACGATTTGGGTCAGTGTCGTTCCGCATAATCAAGCAATTGCATAAATTAGACAGTTCAGCTTCTACGGCAACATGAAAAACTGTTTCTCCTTGAGTAAATGACTCTAAAGTAGGATCACATTGTGAGTGATCAAGAAGAAATAAAGCAGCTGATTCCCATCCGATTCGTGAAGCAGCCAAAAGTAAAGTGTCACCTGGAAGTGGATTCTTCAAAGATTTACCATTCAATGCAGAATACTGAACATCAGTAAATCTATAATTCACGTTAGCACCATTTTCAATCAACTGACTAGCGAAGTCATATGAATTACTTGTCAATGAGTTAGCTGCGAAGTATGCAAAGAGTATGAATGGGTGAGAAACAGTACAAATTGATGAAACAAAAAAAAATGAATTCAAGATAACAGATATATTGTAAGAGACTTAAAACTTATCCAGATCGATAAACGACTTACAAAGCAGTTGAATATTATCAGAAAAAGTCACAAACTTTAACCTTTACTAATTATATGAATTCGTTAATTAACCAATAGGATGAGTTAATTAATGTTATTATTTATTATTACTCAACGCACTATCAGTGCACAACTTCGAGTTGGTTTTTTTTACTTTTTAAAGCTCATCGTCATAAAAACATTTACTGGTTGTCGCTAGTCTGACGGGTCTAGAATTTGTTGGATGTTAGTTCATTCTGTGTTCGATTACTGTTGTTTCCAAAGGACTGTTAACATTCAGTGTCAACATCATCTTAGTAAAATGGAGGTTCACTAATGTATGTTAGAGCACAATAACGAAATCTGAATCAGTCACCATCTTAAAACACTAGTTTTCGGTGGCTTGGTCATGTGTTAAGAATATTAAAACATTGACATCCACATTGTAATAATTGGCGATGCCAAGATAAGGTAATAAAAGAGAGGTGGTAGGTTTATGGCATGGCTTCGTAGCATAAAAGGAAGCTACATAGGATGGGCATTTGTTGACACATCATGACTCAATAGCTGTAGTCCTAGAAATAACTCAGGGGCTTGATACCTAATAAAATATGGCTCACAATAGAAGTAAATTCCGATTCCGCTGTAGTTTTCTTTTAGGTACATAAAAATGGGAACTCACTCATCTGAAAGAACTGGTCGTATTTTTACTGGATTGTTTCTCCTATTGTATACTAGCCTCATTCACTTTTATTGATTCATTTACCTGGGTTCACACCTCTCTCTCTATCACTTCACAATTACACCTTATTTGCATGGCACGCATTTATTTAGATGCTCAGTCGTATCAGTGTTTATGTTTATTAAATCAATCAATAAAATACACAAAGATCCGCTTAGATTCAGACTTGTTAACCAGTTGTTGAAAGACAAATGCATAAACCTCCTATCTAAATTATTATATATATTGCAAATATTTCCTTACAATGGCTAAGTAATTTATTACTATAAGTATTTAACTACGATAATCGAAATGATAACATACATTTAAATCCGTAAACACTTGGATCACGAAAATTGAACTTTCTGACAAGCGCTAACCACAATGGACATAATCCTTGATTATTGGGTAAATCTAAATTAGGCTTCTTGGAATGATTGATCAGCAAATTAAATAAACTTGAATTATTGTGCAAAATAGACAAATGCAACGGTGAACTAAAAGAAAAGTGATTTTTTTAAAACACAATGTTAATTCTCTCATTCGTTGAAACAATAAAAATATTATTTACATTTCACTATACCGTATTATATCGCTACACAAAATTTGGAAACTAAATCCATTTTGAATAGTTTTTTTATGCAAACGTAATAGACAGCTAATCATTCAAACCTCCAGAATAAACAGAAAAACACCTTTAAACGGTTACTGTTTGTTTGGTCCTTTGTTTAAAGTATGTGTGGAATCGCAAAAAGTAATTTGTTAACTTTTCATTAGAACTAGAATGCTTAGGAAGAGAATTACGAGTGGTATTCGATGAAAGATACGATTACTTTAATCGTTAGTTGGAAATACTTTAAAACGATGAAAAAAGTAGCTTCATTGGTGAGATTTTTTGGAAAGATACCTTGTAAACTAGCAAATGGAGTTACTCATATGGTTGTATACAATTTGAAGTATGTTGACCTGTTCAAGTAGTGACAAAAACTGTAAAGACATTGTACTTTTAAAAATTCTGATACTTCGCATATTCGTTTATTATTTGTTGAGATACTTTTAACACAAGCAACCAAGAGAATGTCTACGAAAAACCGAGATATTATTTCACAGTATTTGTTTGGATGCTATGATTAAACGAAATACGATTAGTAGATCTGTTAAGTAAACATTAAAATTAAATATTACTATAAATCAGCTCCACGATTTAAGAATTTTGTCAAAAAATAGCTTACTTTCCGTCTATATCTTGGGAAGAAATATTAGCACTTTGTTGGATTAATGTTTTTGCTATATTTATCACAGCTTCTGACATTTCCTTTGCGTCGGTTACTGCAAGGTTATGAAGTAGTGTGCGAGACGAGATTGAATCACAGAAATCACACTTGATTTAAAACAAAATACATTAATATTCATTTATTACTATCCAAAATCTAAAAGGAAATATTGATTCGAAATTGTTATATATGTTTATTGATGTGGAAAGATTATTTTTCATAGGATAAACGAAGCTGTATATAAACTATTCCTAACTTTAGGAAAGACTGACTATAACTAAGAAATTTCTTACCTTGCGTTTTTACTAGTAGTATGAAGAGTTAAAAGTGTACGTATTGGGTAAATAGACAAGACCACATAGTACCTTCATTGTAAAAAAAAACTATATACTTTCCTTATCTCTTTGAATAAGACGTTTTTCAGAAAATCGTACAAAAACTAGCATAAACATTGGAACTTTAATACCTGGTACAATCCCTAGGAGAATGCTAGATGATATTGAGTAACCAAGGTTTATAATAGCGACAAAGAATGAATACAAAATTAGAAGCAGTGAATTGGGTATACAACATACTGATACTAATAACATAAAAAGATGGTCCAACTCAGTAATCAACAAACGATTCATGAAGTGGACTTGTAGCCATATAGTGTATGAAGTATATAGATACTACACGCCCACCTAAGTTGAATTGGGATTAAAATACGTCACAAGATCATTCAAAAACAGGAAATCGAATTGAGCTGATCTACTCCTCCATGATCCGATATATACATACATTTTTGTACGCTTTTTAGGTACCACGGAGTAGTTTATTTATTAAAACACATAAACAATGGTACAAGGAGGCACCAAATATATATGCGCCACTCTTCATCGTTCGATTAGTGCGAGAGCTGGAATACTACCCGGACACCCAAACCGAAGCAGGCGGTTTTCTTAGGGTGCCACTCCCTGGGTCTCGGACCTAAAGGTCAAATCTACAAGGCAGTGGAGAAATGTAATGAAATGCAGTCCGATGGTAGCCGGTTACAAACAAGAGGTTCACACGCTGTTTGTTCCTTCAGGATATTGGAGCCCATTTGCAACATCGGTTTGGAACCAGGGTTTTCCAACTCCTCTCGATGAAACTTCCGTGTCCACCAACCCGGTTAGTGTGCCGGACATTCGCTTTTCGTCCTCTCAATTTCATAAATAACACCCCCGTCGCGAGAAGGCGGTGAATAGAACTTCCCTGACAGCGGGTGTATATGTGTGGCCAACGGGTAGAAAGATCATTTGCGCCTATTCAGTCTTTTTTCTCTATTTATTACTTTACATAACAGCCTAAATGTTCATCCTTAATTATTATTAGTAGCCGAATAGTTAATTCCTTAAATTAGTTCTTAAATCCATTAACGATAAAAATTCCCGACGCTTGGAAAAATGTACCGCTTTTAATCATTATAGCGACCAAATTACTAACCCAATAAATAAGCTCATTATTGTGTCATTTCCATGAACTATTTAGTTGTTCAAAGTAAATAGTCATTTCATTTTATCTTATCACTCTTCAAAAGTGTTTATTTAAATACACAGTTGACTGAATCCACAACTTTTGGGCCCTTTGAGCAATAACACACTTCGTCACATAAACAGTAATTAAATGGTTAGCCCAGACTAAGTACTACAAGAAGAAGTAAAAATTCCAACTGCCCATCAAATTACTGAACAAGTAAATGGGCTAGTTAATATCTAACGTATGTCTAGAAGTTTCACATTCTTGCTGTCATGATGTTGAATTTCTTGTTCAAACATTTCAACATACCACATTCACTAAACAAAGTTGATAGTTTCGGTGAACTATTAGATATCTAAAACAAATGCGAATCACTTTTTCGACAAAAAGAGTCAAGAACATAGTGTACTCATCTAAATAACAATTCTACAACTAAATGCCTGGAGTACTTATATCTCATGTACTACAATAATCTACTATTGTCGATTGGTCATGCAAAAATTGTGTTAAACCGCAGATCAATTTCATTTTCTTAAGCAAATGGAAACATCAAAACAGAACGATAGAAGTAATGAGGTTCATAATCGTAAACTGTCTGCTTCTACATCACGAATAGAGAACTCAAAGTAGAGGCCAGAATAACTACCGGAGTATGGTTTAAGACAACAGTAATTCCAATGAAATCATGGACCGGTAAATGTTAGACTACCAGTGAAAACCTGAGAGAAATGGGTGGGGGTTTCACCCTAGTATGGGACTCAGCAATGCTCGTCCACGATCCCGCACGCGGGGATTGAATCTAGGACCTTCGGTCTCAAGCGCGAACGCTTAGCCTATAGACCAATGTGTCGGCATCTAACGGTGTTAACGTTCAACTTCAATTAACTCATTATATTGAAATTCAACAATCTCCATGACCCTACACTGATAAACCGTAATTTATCTGAACTTTCAAGACATTAAGGTTAAAATATTTACAAACCAATTACATTGGAACCATGAAGCAAGAGAAATTGGACAGCTTCATAATGGTTTTTTCTAAACGCAAACTGAGTAACAGGTTGCTTTTCGTCAGTAGGACCAATAAGTGCGTTTATATCTGCGCCTAGACCAATAAGTTTCTCAGCAAGCTTGAAATGTGCATCCTTTAGGGCCATATATAACGGTGATAGACCATTTTCATTCAGTTGATTTACGAGGAGTTTAGCCTGGAACAAAGAATGTTAGCAAAATTGATGAGTTACAAGACTACAGTAATGGTAATAAAATTAGATATGTCATCTGTGGATTTTTAATTTCGTAGTAGTGTCAATCAGAGACACGTCACTTCGGAAACTTATTCCGTACACTAGGATATGAGAACACCAGTTATGTTAGATTTTAACTTACAGAACTGTATTACTTGAATACTCTTAGTTGATAAGTAGGTTTCTAAGGAAGAAAAATTCCACAAACCTCAGAAGCAATCAATATCTTCTAAATTCCACTCGGAGTTAAATAAGCAATAACGATAGTTCATTTCAGGTGAAACTCAACAAAATACAACTAGGAGGTAACCGAAGACTAGTTAAATAGTTCTTTAGCATTTCTTCTATCACATGAACTGTATGCTATAAACCCTTACCAATTGTGTCTCTGAGTAATATTTCTGAAAACATCACTATCCTCGAGGGATTTAAATAAGAAAAAGTAGTTAATTTATAACTCTAAGGTACTTAAATTTCTTATATTACTGTAGTCTGCCATTACATGTGATTACCACGTAAAAACTGTAAGGTCGTAGTAAAATTCCTTGCTAACTATAATTAAAAGAGAAAGACAGTCACTGAAATCCCAGGTTGAAAATTTAGCTGCCTTATCATGGTAGGATGTCGCCGATTATAAAGTATTCGTCGCTTGGAATAAGTACTATGTTGATGATATTACTAAAAAACTTAAGTCAGGATAACAGTGTTAAGCCGCAGCTGAACAATTTTTTGAATCCTACGATCCCAATAAGTGCAGCTCATAAGAAGTAATAGATGAATTTTATCGAAAGCTCCCAAACCTCCTTTAAAATGTTAGACGCTCGGATTTGTTGTTGGTGGTGGTGGTAGGTGATTGTAATGCTTAAGTAGGTAGGCTAAGCCAAACGAATGGCCTACAGTGTAGTGCCTCTGCGAACAGATAATGTCGACCGTCTTTTGCAACTACACTTCGATAACTGTCTATTCTTAACAAACACCAACTTAGGCATAAAGAAAAACATCATCTGATGTGGCAACCCCCCACAATCGACTCAATGGAGGACTTAAATAGACTACATTACCACCACTCATTGTTGGAGAGACTCAGTAGTAGCAGCCGCTCATTCCGGAACACATGTTTAGACTTACATCATGTTAAGGTTCGAGAAAGCACTTATCTGAGTTTTACTGGACGTAAAAAGACAAAAGAGAAAACCTTAGAGTTCAGCCTAGTGATGAAAAAGCTGAGAACATACTTCATGAACAACTAGAGGGGTTAGCCAACCATGAAACTAATATCCAACCCGAATTAGCTTGGCATGATATCCAAAAACCGTGGAAACTGTAGCGATATCTATCAGCAACTTAAGTCGAATAGTTAGGATAAGTGGATTTCGGCGGTGTTTACTGAACTGGTGAAAAGACGGGACTATTGTTCCCTATCAATCTAGGAGACTGGATCAGTGGGCAGAAAACTTTAGGGAACATTTTGACTGACCTTCAGTCACACTTCAGTTACCCACTATCTTCAAGTAATCGGAATGACAAACTGATGTAAGTCCTCCAACTCTCAGTGAGGTTGTAAAGGCTACAAGTAATGTAAAGTGAGAGAGCAGCAGAGCCTGATGGATTAACGTCTGAGATTTTTAAGGATGGTGGCCCAGTTTTATCAGTTACATCGACTGAAATGTTAGCTAGAATCTGGAAACTAGACGTAAGTCCATCTTACTAGCCTCGATCGCCGATGGTCCCAGTTTTTTTGGGAAAGGACAAATATCCTTTTGCGATAACCATTGAAGAATTAGTTTAATTTATATAGTGTCTAAAATATTGGTCTCAGTAATACTTCGAAGTCTAACCTCAGGCTGGTCTCAGACATTGACGTGGATGTAAACACCAAATATTCGCACTCTAGCAGGCTCTGGAACACAGACATCCTTTGTGGGGTCCGATAAGTTGTATTCCTTGACCTTAAAGTGGCGATCGACTCCGTTCGTCGTGAGGTTCTGTGGTAGTGTCTGTTTCTGAAAGGCGTACCAAATAAGTACATTACCGTTGTATAGTTTCTCTACCCGAACACTACCGGTCAAGCCAGAGCTTATTGGTTACTAAAAATAGAAGATACTTGTCGGTTACTGGTATTCGATCATAGGTGCCTTTGAAGCATTGGTCGTTTATTTTGGGATCACCGAGTAAGCAATGTCTAGGTTAGGAATAGAGCATTAGTTAAGGACGGTAAATCAATTGATGACGTGGTATATCCTCATACACTGTGGTGGTTGGAACACGTGTTACATATCCCTAACCACTCCCTACCTCGACGGGCGATGTTGTTTAGTGTAGCAGTAGACTGGAAGAAACGTAGGGACGTACAAACCAAAACAATATCAATTCATGAAGTGATCGAAAATTGAAATTAGCCATGTTAATGAACGTAGGCTACCTGGTTGGAGTCTGTGTGGAAATCATAATCAGTGGTTAGAGACTTAAAACGACGTAACTCAAAATAGTCTGCGATGACGCAAATGCATTCTGTCTCATATCTTCTGTTAGATCTTAAGCCTTTAAATTTCTGAGTTTTTTCATTAATTCATATTCTTTAATCGTGTCTTTGATCCCTAATCTCTATTACCAAAGATACTGCTACTACCTCTACTGCTCTGGAATTTGGACTGATAGTAGGGGAGCAATCACTCCAGATTAAACTTCTGCGTTGCTACGATTATCTATCTCAAGAAATGAATCAACGTAGTATATCATTTTTCCGACAGCTCACTGGAGAGGCAGAGGATCCTCAGTCAAAGAAAGCCAGTTTGGTGTTGCGTTGCCACCGAATAAGTATACATAAATTAAATAAACGCACTATCTCGATATATATTTTAGTGTTATGATCAGTTGCTTAGTGTACTGTAATTAGCCTCCAGACTTCAGTAGGATAATCCATGGGACTTGATCTATGTAAAATCATCGTGTGTTCTACTTAGCGTTACCAAAAACAAACGACTTTCCGTATATATATACAGTCGCGATCAAAAACCACATAGATGAATAACATCTAGAACTAAACTGGTCCGTGTATCTTCACTTTAGTGACATAATGCACTGTGATACATAAAGTGATCCCTAAATTTATAAATACTGAAACCATGTCATACAGACCTGCGGTGTCAGTGACCACATAACGTCAGTGAGGTATGCCCTTTACGAACTATTCAACCTTTTGGTTTTTCAAGGAATTCAACGAAACGAAACGAACAAGTTGTAAAGTAGTCGTGTACATTATCGACTTTTTCTACTTTCAAGAAAGAGGGACACTTATCATCATCTCAATACACTACATCGAAGCCAATAATGACTCCTTTTACAACTCGTAGGTAAAAAGTAAGTAGATGCGCACTGCTGAGGAGTCCCATACAAGGACGAAATGGCCGTCGAGTGCTTCCAAGTTTTGAATGGCGGTCTAGCTTAGGTAGACTCATGAATTCAACTGTCATAACAAGTAATCCCCTATCAAAATATAACTTTATTAAGTAACGGTTAACTTCCGGGAGGTAATAAAAACTTGAGCAAACCATACAGTATGTAGTGTGACTAGTCTACAGTAACGACTGACTGACAATTGTAGTAACATATGAACTTAACTAAAATTAAGCGGAACACGAGTTATCATGAAAGGACTTAAAGGAGCGTGTCCCAAAGACATCGAAATGTTATTAGAGATAGCCATTTGTGATAGGTGTGAATTACGAGAGAACTGGCGTCTGCATAGAGATATATAAGCGTTTTCACTGAACCATCTCATTAAAAATTCACGACAGCTCCCAATAGAAATAACACTTAAATAAAAAAACATCTGGTAAATAGAAGTTGTTGCACAGATAAACCATGCAAATGACAGCTAAAATAAAATACCTTTGGATGATCAACGTTAAGCAAAGATAAAACTGTGTCATCTCTTCCAAGGTCAATTGCTGAGTGAACAGGGAACTTGGAATACTTCTCGAGAAAAGATTGCAAGACAGGTGCAGAAACTGTAGAAATTTCTTTCACTGAAAAATTAGGCTGGAAAACCAGGTAAATATTAATCAAATTGCGTACCCAAACACGTGACATAAACGAGAAGCAATGGTCTAACAACCGAGTGGCTCTTAGTCTATGTGAAGACGAATACAATGACAAACAGTTTTCTCTTGTCACTAGAGGAATTAAAGCGATTTCGCACCTACAACTTAAAAAATAGAAATACTTACTGAGTAAATAAGGAAGGCAAGCAAAATTCTCGTGCAAGTGTCATTAAATCGGACAAACATTGTGCTTCGTACTCTTCCAATATGCCCCTATAAGTCCATAGAATAAAAGCTTCGCACACATTTTGACAATAACCTTGAGAGACTAAAACGAAGTGGACTTTAACTACCTTGTATATTTATATATTCCACACCATCCTCTGTATAAACATTCCAAACTCCTCCCCTAGCATCGAGAACAAATCTGTGCCCTGGGACAAGAACGTTTGGTGTTTTGAACAGCACATCACTATTATAAGTTATTAGCGAAGCCAAGTTGCAGCTACCTGTATTTCGTATTCAAAAACAAACTCTCAACAAATGCAAGTATATTCCCACAAAAATTTTGTTCCCTGTGTCCGAGTTCTGCCATGAGTATTTCTTTTTCTTTTTCAAGCTTTTCAACTCTATCTCTAAGTTTCTGATATTCTAACTTAACGTTAGAAATATAAAAGTCCGAAGCCATAGAAAAGGAGTAACCTTGAAGTTTGAAATATCACAAATTTTCAATCCCTAATTATTAAGGTAGTGTGAACCGATCGAGTTCTTCACTTTCATCTTTAGGTGCTGCTGTATGGTTCCAGGTCGGTAGGTTGAAGGTTTGCTGAGTCGACCTTCACTAAAAAATGGTGTAATGAGAGCCAGCTTTCAATTTTTAGGTACCGTACTTCGTCTTAGTGAATGTGAGAACATCACACTATGCAGTGTTGCCAGGACTGGAGCTGCTTCTCACAATATAACAGAATGAACCATATCTGGTACGGGAGGAATGATCTTGTCTAGGTGCTTCAGTTTCTGGTACACCAAACCAGTGCTCAGATCCTGTTGAATTGAGAATGAAGCAAACTGACATGAACAAGTATCAGCTTCTAAATATTACTCCATTTGTCCCTCGAAATCTGGAAAATATTATTAGTGATGAACTCTCTAATCATTTACTCACTGAAAAATTAGTCATTGATTCTCAATATATATTTCTTAAAAATCGATCTTGTATGACATTCTACTTTGATTTCTTCAATTTAGTCTATCCTCAATGTAACTAAGGATATGTACTCTTGGTGCTTCACGTGGGCAGTTCTAAAACCTACAACATGGTTGACCACCAATGTCTAATAGGTAGAATTGCATCTTACGCGGTTCCAAACCCTCTGCTTGCTTGATTTGGTTCCTTTCTCACCCACCGACACCAAATAGTTCAAATTAAGTTCCTTGTAGAACCCCTTCTCTGTCAGAACAAGGTGGCATAGTGATACTTAAAATGGCAGCCGGAGTTTAACTCAGCCTAATGTGGATGGATATGCTTTGTTAATACATAAATCAACTTAGATCTTACCATGAATGATGAGGTGTTGTCTAAGTTACATGCAGTCGTAGACTAAGGATTTGGGTAATCCTAAGATTTATCGTTCACAGAAAAGTATTAAAACAGATCTCTAAGTTTCTATGTCTTATAGATAGCAAAACTAGAAACATTTATAACAATGAGTCATATATTTTAATGTAAAATATTCGCGTCCGACCACTTCTAAAATACTGCAAGCTTATTCTTAATGGTGTGCGTGTAAAGAATAAATTAAGGTTGTGATTGGTACAGAGACGATTTGCGCTACGGATTCTTGGAAGTGATTGTACCTTGACTTATAATTTCGAATGTAATAAACTTGAGGTCGACGCAAGCATATCCATTTACTCTAGTATTTCCTAAACGCATTGAATACACTATTTTCTTAAATGTAATGATGAAATATTTGTGTTCAGGTAACTGTTTGCTGAGTCTTACTTGCTCATTATGCCACTTAATAGATGTCTGTACAACAAGTTTAACATAGAATGAAGAGGAGGACTGACCATTCTTATTTACATTAGTCCAATTTCAGTCACATTAACAATCTGTGAAGAAACACGTTGAAGACGAAACCATGCAGGATGAAGGATCAGTTCTACATAAAGTGGACAAAAGATCCATATTGCCTAAATGACTTAATGCAACTGTCACCGAACCAATGATTCATGATACGAAGTCTCCAGTGAAGGTTAACAGAAAGCCCATTTTTATAAGTAGACAAGACTGGTACTTTATGATCAGAAAGAAGGCAAGACAACAGTCGAGAACTTACTATAAGCCACAAAAGAATATCAAAATGGTGCCGAAATACACTGAATTTTATGCCACTTGCTGTCACCATCATGCTTCACAATATAGGAATAGACCATCCTAAATTGGGAGGGTGAATAAATCGCCGAAAGCCTCTGAGATAACAGAGCTTCATTTGTTGGAAAATTGTACTGTTCAACAACATCAGAATTCACTGATCAATGTGGCAGTGGTACGACTGACAAAAGCAGACTTGAAGTGCTGATAGACGCCGTTAGTTAACACACCACATACCGATAATTTTGCAACCTTAACACTTTCTTCATGTTAATATTATGTTTATTCACATGTAACATATGCTTACATGAGAGTTTTGATTAAACCATTCCGAGTTTCATCACAAATGCAAGTAATCACAATATTCAACAACGTTTAGATAATATCCACCATATTTAAACACGTTCTGTCATATTTAAAAATATACTACGATGACATTGAAGGAAGATAAAAACAGAAACAGCGAAGGGTGTATATATAATTTGATTAAGTGTTTGTGATGAAGAATAATATTAAACGGCATTATGTATATTACATATACTGGATTTAAAATGTTATTGTTGTGGTAAGATTTATTGTTAGAATAAGAAATTGAGCAGTAGGGATTTAAGAATGTGCGATGGGAGAATAAATCAAAAGCTAAGAATATTAATGGTATATATATTCCCAGATAACAGTAAGTTACATGTTTTCATGTGTGTGTTCACCGCGCTAGCATGCTTTTTACTGTCGTCGCTAGAATCCCCAGCATTCTTCCTGTGAAAGTTTTTAGGCATACGACAGGTCTACAATCTTTTGTACCGGCCAAAGCTTTCTCGAAAAATACAGTATACAGAACCGATGATAATCAACGTTATACGATCGTTCTTCCGCCTTGTGTGTTACTATGATGTATATTTTGTGTAATCATTTTCTGCATTAATCACAGCGCACTCTTGGATAAGAATAAAGAAACGATTGTGTTGCTTACACTGAATGATTTAAGATTCATCAACATCCACTGCAAAACAACAATAATTTACTTCTGATATAAGCAGGAGACGAAGAAACTAAAGGTTCAGTAAACTGCTACATGAGTCAGAGAAACAACTTTAATCGAAACATGTTTTGAGTGCATCAGGTAAACAAAAAAGAGTTAATTTACGACATGAAGGTGTAAACCAGTTCTTCAATTAAAATAAAAGTCATGTTAAACTCCCTTAATCAAATATTTTGGGTGAAGCTGTTATCTGCTTTTCAGTGTGTTATTGCACTTTCAAAATGTAAAAGCATTTCCGTCAATCACTTGCACTTCCTAAGCACAGAGAATGTTAGTAAATAAGAACTTGCCAGCATGACAACAACAATAAACATTTCCTCTGACAGGACAATAATGTGTGTATTTAACTGTTGTTGATGAAGTTGTCATAATTCATGTAGCTCAAGTTACTTAAAACTGACCAAAAGATCCTAGGTATCATGTCTGCCATCTCCGTATACCATGATGAAATGATTGAAGAGGCCACAGGTATTCGGGGTCTGACAGCGATTTAACCAGTAACACCATCTAGTATGAAACGTACCCACCAAGTGCAATCAGAAGACAGAAGTGAAGACGTTCGAAGATATATTTGACAGGCTATCAATATATCGAGGATCGTCTGATCTAATCTGGCTATCGATCGCAGTAGATGTTGAGTACGGCGTTTTCACTCGTGATATGGTGCGGATGCATGACCGAGCGCCTTCAGCTAAGGAATTCCATTAAAACCAGTGTGGTCAGCATCCAATGTCGGAAACTTACAGAGCTATTTGTTTTGGGGATTTATTTATCGCTACTAACGTCATGAAGAAACCATTCCAAGTTTCATCACAAATACGAGTGATCACAGTTTTTACTAACCTTTGGGTAATATTCACCACATTTAAAAGATCCTGTCATATCTAAAAGTGCACGTAAGTGACACTGGAGAAAAAAGTAAAACAGAAATAAAGAAGAGTATGTCAACATTTTCACAGATGTCCTTGTGACTTAGAATTGTATTTAACGGTATTGTATGCATCACATATGTAGGATTTAAAATATGTTATTGATGTAGTAAGATTTAATGAGGAATAAGAGACAAACATTGTTAGTTTATGAACATGCGATGAAAGTCTAAATCGAAAGCTCAGAACGACCGCCAAATACCGATTTCTAGAGGTCTTATGCATGTGGTGGGAATAAAGTCATAAGCCTGTAGCGTGGTGTCGAGTTGAGGTTAACTATGAACACCGCTACCAAGAAACACGTGTCAAGTGAATCAGAAGGCGAAGGTTGAACGTAACCAAATAAATCCATAAAATCCCCGAGAAGCCAAATATCAGAAGACAGTTAATGAACCAAATCGAGATATATTCGCTGACGATCTCGTGGTATCGAAAGGATACCAAGATCGTGCCAGAATACAAGCTTGGTTACAGAACGTAACCGAATTCGCGCGAAGTCACAATCAAAGTGTAAGAATCAGAATGGAAGTACAATATAGCTGTCATTAGCACAGTCAAACAAAAGCACATTAAAATAATCACTGGTACAGCTGGTTATACTAATGGTTGTTTTTATTAAACCAGTCGTGTTCTCGTGATAAATGTGAGTCATTACAAGCAAATCCGCTTACTTTGTGGTTTCATTTCAGAACGAACGAGATCTGGTACGGACATTTTGGATCCATTTCTCTTCGACTCGGTGAAAATTGTATCATGTCGTTCAGATAAAATAAATTTTGTGTTCATTCGATATAAAACTGATCCTTCTTCCTCCATGGTTTCGTCTTTAATGATTTCAATTATCTTGTAGTTGAAATATTTATTGAGTTTGTAATAATCACATATATATATTCCCAGATAACAATATGTTGTATGTCCTCGTGTGCGTGTTCACCTCACTAGCATAATTTTCACTATTATCGCCAGAATCCCCAGTGTTCCTTCAGTGAACGCTTTTAGCTAAACGACAGATCTGCAATCTTTTGTATGGCTATATCCTTTTCAGTGTACAGTATACAGAACCAGTGATAATCAGAGCCTACACTTAGTGGTATAATGTCCATCAAAATCCATTGCAAAGCAACACTAATACACTTCTGATATCAGCAGGTGGCAAAGAAACAAAAGTTTCTGTAAACACCTACGCCAATCACGAGCGGAACTTTAACCGAAATGCACTTTAAGTATTCTAGAGAGGCAAGCCAAAGTCTACGACAAGCTCGTGTGGTTCAGGTCATTAATTAAAATAAAAAGCATGTTTTTAAATGAAGATGTTACCATATTTTCAAAGTGTTGATGGATTTTTACAATTCTCAAGCAAATCCGTCAATCGCCCCCATTTTTTAAGCATACAGAATATTATAGATGGCCTCCTACTCTTTTTCTTCTACATAATAGATCGCCAGTATGACAATAATAATAAATATTGTCTTTAATAAGGCAGTTAAACGCTGTTATATACAATACATTTTTTATGCTTTTATCATGAGACATGTAAGCTATAGTTATACTTCATTAGTCCTTCCAATATCCGCATAACAAATTGTAGAATAAACTTGGTAGAATACTACTGAACATAAAAAATAATAAAACAGGAGTTGTTTATTTGACAGTTCTTCTTCTGAATTTCATTTAAATATTCTGACATTTAACGCCTAAACGATAATTTGAATTGTCATTTTCTGTCAGTTTCCACATAGTATATTTCGATTTACAAGCAGCTGGTACTTATGGTCTTACGTAAAGACGTTGTCTACATTTAAAAATGAAAGATCATGTAGAATCCAGAGGTTGTTTACAATAAATCAATTGGATAATCTATGTTACTGAAACAAACTATTATAGCATTGTTATTATTCTTTTTAAGTGCATTAACTTTGTACCGCACAGAATTTAAGTCACAATTTTGGATTTTTGATTCTGATGCCCATAAACAGGAAAATTAATTGTATTTCGCCCGAAGTGTTATTGCACAATGAACTTTCGTTTATTTGGATTTAAATGTCTTGGCATTGTGTCAAAGAACAAACGGTAAATGGCCTATATATCCAATGTGGTATCAAACTATTGTACATAATCGATTCCTCAGTCAAGTTAATGAACAAATCGGTCCATTAATTCATCGTCTCACACCAAAATATATTGATTTGGTAAAAGTTGCGAATTCTAAAGAATGTGAACTGTCTTTACTAAAGAATTTACGAAGAATAATTAATGAAAACAAATGTGCTGCATGTCAGAGAGCCCGTAATGCTTCAACTACTAAAATTACCTTTCCTACTAATGGTAATCAACAGACGTTAGAAAATCCGATTGATTGGTTAAATAATCATGTGTGGTTTAATTTATTTTCAGAGCCTAAGGATGACAATGTTATTAAAATGCGTTTCGGAAATGCAGATGATATTACTCAAAAAACATTCACTGATGTACGTGAAGATGACTACAAACAAATCAATGCCAAAATTAAAGAAATTCGTCAAAAGAATTTTGTCAGACAATACATGTACACAAAATGAACTCTATTATTTTAAATGTAACAGAATACTGTGATGACCAACTTGGTTGTCATTAATTTATTATTCTTTTTGTAAGACTATCACTTTGATGTTTCTAGATTTTTGTTTATTTGTATGTCCCTTTTTAGTCTTCGTCTTATTCACAGCAAAACTAGTGGTTTATTTCTCAATTTTTAACAGTAAACTTATTTCTTAAACAATCAAACGACATCGAAGTTTTTTTGACGAGATAACTGTTGCTAAATCACAAGGTTCTACAAATTATCAATTATGACAAACTATTAAATACTTTAAATCCTGGTTTAAATATAGCTGACATTTGTATGCGAGATGTACTCACAATTAACGCGCAGCCTGTGTTCCCTTCCTATGCCTTCAACCACCTAGCATCAAATAGAAAATACTCCAACGTGGTGTAGTTTGGACTGATTCAAATACAATTTGATCGATTGGATTTCAACATCGGATACATTGCTTGGCTGTACTTGAACATGTCTTTTAAGTTTAATTGGTCTCGATTAGAATAATAAATAGACAAATATTTGAAATGATACGTCATGATATTGAACCCCTTCCTGGACGTCAGGTTTAACAAATCGTTGATTAAGTGAACCATGTAAACTGAATAAATGGAGTGTTCTGGCCGCCTGAAAGTGAACAGTTCTTCAACAGTTATAAAAATGTCTAACTCAACATTTTTACAGCACGCCGCTGTTCGAGTGAACACTACAAACTTGGAAAAGGTCATTTATAAAATCCACCTATTGGAGTAGTGTGATTTTTGTTTGTTGATTTTCAGTATTGAGTTATTTTACATTTTATACTTACTAATTCACTCAGTTTATTTGATCTCCAGTGTAATTGTATCGTCTTTTGAAGTAGTCGGGTTTAACAGAGTAAAAAGCTGTCGTATCTTGATTCAAATTATCGTTACAGTGATCATTTTCACAGTAAGCGTATCACAGAGATCTGGGTTTCATGAAGAATCTGTTTTTTTCTATAGTAAACATTTGACCATAAAATTATGTAAAGCATAAGTATCAGTAGTATCGAAATAATCAGTAGTCTGTTTTATTATCATTACTATAAAGATATATATATATATATATATATATATATATATATATATATATATATATATATATATATATATATATATATATATATATATATATATATCATGAAAGCAAATACCGTACTGATGAAATGAGACTTTAAGATATGAATAATGATAAATATTATTTGCAAATGTAATCAAAATTCATTATCTCTATACAAGCAAATAACTGCCTGATGGATTCCCACAAAGATTGGTTTTTTTTTAATTTACTGATTAAATCTGTCTAATTATTTTAATATGTTTTAATCACATCTAAAATATTTTAGCGGATGAAAAAGTATGATAACTGCCTTATATTGTTACATAATATTATAAAGTAGTATAAATACCAAATGAAAAATAAATTCATTTTGTGTAATAAAAACCCATTAATAAACACTCGTTGTCTGATAAGCAGTAGGTCTATAAAGTAAATAAACTTAAATGAAAACTTTATTAGACGTAGATAGAAGGCAAGGTAGACCAATGTATCGAAACCGTTCAATAAAGGATCAATTAAACACTTTTTTCATCACTTTTCAATTCTTGTGCAGTTCGATATAAATAATCCATCTGTGAAATTTAAGAAAGGCAAATCAAAATAACAAGTTCCTTTTATTATCTTAAAGAGAGCAAGAACAAAGATCGGCGCAGAATAATATGAATATTTTAGGTTGTAAGCAGCTGATGAGAACCTAACGAAATAAAATGAACTCATATTATTCTGCACCAATCTTTGTTCTTCCTCTCTTTAACAAAATAACAAGATAGAGAGGAAATGACAGACTGAAAATGTAACCATAGAGATTGGGTATTTGTTCTACTCACACAATATTTCAACCATATTAACTGATTGTTGGTTTACAAATATCGCTTCTGCAAATCGACCACCTTGAAATGGCAGTCTGGTTAAGACTACTTCATTTCGTAGTTTTCTTTTGTTATGTGGTATGTTCTTTTGGTGGCATTCTGAAACCATTGTAATTATTCAACAAGTTGAAAACTAAATCTGTTCTTTTTGTCACTGATACATACTTTCCCAATCCTTTAAAATATCTAAGTATTTATTTTATTTTTTACTGAACCAGGATGAGATCAATGGAACGAATGTACATTTCCTTTCATCCTCGTAAAGCTTTGATCATCTGATCACTTTAGGATTTTATTGGTTATAAAAATTATTAGTAAAGCTGAGAGTGTGTTCAAAAAGTTAGACAAAAATAGGTTTTTGTTGAAAATGACATATTCGCCATCATTCTTAATGACACTTTTACTCGAAAATTTGGGTTTGATCAATTCTGAGAAGCTCTAGAAATGGCCACAACAAATATGTAGTTCTTCTTGGCTTTTACTGGTCCTCCAACTGATGTATTTCTGTAATAGAGACAATTTTAATATACATAGAGTGACTTTTACATGTTATTTCGTTTACTTGACTTTTTAATCCATTTTTCAGAGCATTTCGTTATTCCCATAATTTCTCTCGGTTCTGTTTCCCTTTCTGGGGTAGGTTTTTCTTGGTCGTGAAAATATTGAGAATCCATTATACTAAGGAATCACCACGTGACCTACTATGCAAGGTAATTCTCTGAGAATTTTAACATGTCGGGGGGGGAGACAAATATTAATAATATCAATAAATGATGGTGGCACCATGTCAAGAATTGGGTGACTATTGGATCTTAAGAGAGTGATCAGAGGGCTGAGTGCTTAAGAGGATCAATGAAGACTATGGGTTTGACCGTTGGTTTATTCGTGTATGTACGTCACTGAACAGTCTCACATAAAAATGAAGATCTGTCCAGTACATCCTGGTTTTCGATGGTCATCTAAACAAAATCAGTCAATAAGGTAAAGCCATACATCTACTCACCCATTTGTCACTTATAATTTTATTGGTGTTTTACCTAAATTTACCCCAATAAATTGTAATACGTGCGATCCTATTGATACTTTATTACCGTTTCAACCAAATTTTAAGTTATAGGTCAATGAATTGACTATATTACTGGGTCTCAGGTGACACCAGTTCAATCTGTTTGTCTGGTTTTTGGTACTAGTTGCATGGAATATAATTGAGAAAGTTGAAAAATGGAAGCTCTATATATACACACTTCAAAGTCACGATAAATTTATATCACCTTTCCTTTTGAGATTCAAATAAAAAACTCAGTGTTTCTTGCAACAATCTATTATAAAATAAATCTATAACCAAATGAAAGTTCTTTTAACCATCAAAAGTCGCTGTATATTGGAAAATAATTTTGTTTTTTAGTAACATCAAATTCGAAAGTGTAATATCATGCTCAAATAAAAATAACACATCACTCACTGTTCAAGCTAATTCTAAAACTGGTAATAAGTACTATGAACCACGAGCTTGTATTTTGAATTGATAAATAAACTAAGAGTTCCACTAACAACTATCTGATTGAATAGTGTCTCTTTTCTGGTATCTATGTTATTAGTCAAATCATTTGCAATATTCAGATGAACCCCTAAAATGATTTTGTGCATGATCTACATAGGTGAAGTCATGTAATACGATAAAGAAATCATGCCTTGAGAAATTAAGTGGTTTTAAATGATAAAATAGCTTCAAACTAATGTGTATTTTAAAAGAATTGGTTTTGTTTACTTCAAAAACACTGAAAGTAATTGATTCCAGAATATCAAACAATCTAATACCATCTAGTCTCCGACTGAGTTTCATCCATCAATTTATAATCCACCTATTGGTCGAATGATCAACGATTGTGGTATACTATATTTAACTTTAGGTGGTTAAGGGTCAGAAGGCAGTAATCATGTTAAACATTAATCTCTTCAAGATTTTTATCATATTTTGTCAATGAATGCTATCTATAACTGAATCTATTTTTCAGGAAATTCATAATTTCTTAACAACTGGTTTAAAACAAAACAGTCTCATCATGGATAGTGGCTAGCAGTGGAATCCAGGACGCGCATTTCGTCCTATTTGGGACTCGTCAGCCGGATGTACCTGCGTCTCAGAGTTAACGTTCACTCTGGGACTCGAATCCAATACCATTCGCTTCAAACGCCATCGCGTTATCCACTCAGCTACTGAGTCCTAATAGCCACTTGCTTGTGCAATGGGGTGAATTTGCATTCACTTGGTATTGTTTGGCTTGTATCTTCCCAGTGAGGTTTAAGACTGCAATTAATCAGTCTGTTAAGGTAATATCGAGACATACGCATAATATGCACCTATGCTAATAGCAGACTGATCAATTGCAGTCTTAAACCTCAATGGGAAGATACAAGCCAAACAATACCAAGTGAATGAAAACACTTTCATGTTAGATAGTAATGAAGTATTAGACCTTCAAGTATCTGATTTGTAATGAAAATATATGAACAGATAAATCAAACATTTATTTCTACATAGAAATATTTTGACCTTTTGATACAAAACAAGAAAATATACTTTTCAAAGTAGAAGAGATTGGAAATTCATCTATCCTTTGAAATGACTATTTCTGTTATTGTTATTAAAGTTCACTAACATTCATAATAATAAAAATTATGTTAAATTTTAAATTACAACCGAGTCCTGAGAAGAAAGTAATTTTATGTTAAAAATGATTGATGACAGGAAGTTAATTCGCTACTCTATGAAATACAAATCTATATTACTTGATGTTAAGAAATAAAAATTTAGTCATGCAATTACTAGCAAAGATAGTCAATGACCTTTCTCCAGTCATAAGTTTAGCATGACAACATTTTTAGTTATATTAATAATCAGAGTATAAGTACATAAAATACAATAAGTTTTAATACGCTTTGGGATTTTTTTATTATTTAGACATATAACATGATCATAACTATTCATTAAGCGTTCTTATTAGAACTAATAATAACATAAACAGAAAAATTCTCAAGAAGGTTGATTAGGTTTTGCTTAAAGTAGAAGAATAAACTTAATTTTACATGAATGGTTAAAAAGAAGAGCTTATTTACAAGTGAGTTGGATAGTCTTTTTGGAAAAACACAACTCTTCACGACGTTGTGCGTATAGGCATAACGGAGGTAGGGCATGAAATGTCAGAGTCTCGTACTGTTGTCGTTCCATCTATATCATTGAATCAGAATCCAATGGTTCACATTTCTTACCTCAATGAACTCATAATACAACGTAACAATCATCTAATGTCCACGTCTTACGCTAGAAGTGACTGAATTTCTGCAATTTATAGGTCTTACTAGGAAGTCAGAAATTTATCTC